AAAATAATGTCTAAATGAGTTTGGAAGGAACTAAATTTTAAATTAAAAATTTAGGGATGAAAATTATGGTTTTGTAATTTAGGGTGAAGATGGAAAGAAATGAGAGAAAGAAGTGGGAAAAAGAGAAGAAGAAAAGGTGACAAGGTGAAATTGGGAGTTCGAGTTGCAGGTGACAACGGAAGAAGAAAAAAATTTGAGAAAAGTGACGACGGAGGAGAAAACTTAAGAAGAGAAGAAGATATTTTTTTTGTTCACGACATTTAGATAACATAAAAGTTAACCATTAACACTTAAATTATCATGATAAATAAATATGATAAAGTATAAGTTAACGATAGTAAATAAATTATCAAAGTAAATAAAGAGGTTAATAAATAAGTTAGTTGATATCAATCATATAATAAATAATTTAACACGATAAATATAATTTTACCATATAATTGCTAATTTATCGTGATACATTGTTAATCAAATAAAGAATCACGAAGAATACAATCTTGTTATTGCCTATGGTTATGAATAGTGTTTTCGATGTTAGCAGAACAAAGTTTTTACTAAAAATTAGTATGATATAATAAGATTTACACGGTAAACAAACTAAATAATCGCAAAATCAATGTTTATCAATTAAATTATTATGATAATGTATAAGTTAACAGTAATAAATAAATTATTATATTAAATAAACAAGTTAAGATATAAGTTTGTTGATATTAATCATCTAATTACTGATTTAACGCGATAACTATGAGTTTACCACATAACATATAAATTTATCGCGATAAACTTTGATTTATAGTACTAATCAAATAAATAACCATAATTTTTTTTAATTGATTCTGATGGTGAACAGTGTTCCCGATGATAGATGAATAATATTTATTTTTATGTTAGTTTTAATTTTCTTATCTCGTTATTTTTTCTGTTAGCACGTATACATAATCAAGGACAATTTGGGCATTAATTAAGTTGGAGGAGAGATAACTAATAAACAAATAAAGAAGGTTACTTTCTTTATTTTTCAATCGTATGGGGTTTTTAATTAAAATAACCCTAAAAACGTAATTTGTCATTTAAAAACTTTTTCATTGTTAATTTGTCTATATATAAAATTATAAAGTAATATAAACTTTCTACCAAGGTTAATATAGGACTTTCTATTCTAATAAAGTACCTTATATATGTATATTTATATAGTTGGTACATCATGCACAGCACAATGACCAAAAACTAATTTAGATTCATATTATAATCTGACACGTGAGTCAGGAGGAGAAGTGAGAACGCTATATATATTGATTGATCGATTGATAAATGCGACGCGATAAAAGTCTACGGGGACAGGAATGACACAGTATCTTAGTGGTTGGCAACGAGGAGAAATTGTCACAATTGGGTGGTTACTTATATATATGAATATGATAATAAAAATAAAATGAAAGGCTGTGATTAGTTAAAAGAGTAGAAAAAATAAATAAAAAAAGTAGAAGAAAAGAAATATCACACCAGAAGAAAAAATGAATTTTACTAGTTTTGAGCATGGAAGAATTCCTCTCGTTAGTTACTTTTTAATACTTTCATCATATATAATTTTCTTCTGATTTTTTTTTATCGGTACATGTCAAGAAAAGAAAAAATTCTTCCTTTTTTATTTCTTATATTAAAGGTAATCAGTCACACCTAAAGATTAGATTTCGATTATGATAACGATACGGCCGATCTCCAATCCATGCATGGCAGACGTCACATGATTGCCAAAGGTATCATTCAAGATTCATTGCAGACGTCACATGATTACCATCTTCGCATTTTATCCTTCAACTAGAAATTTGATTATTATTATTATTTTTGGCTCAAGGCATTGTAGATGTATTTACCCTTTTCGTTTGATTTAATTATTCCTTGGATATTCAACCCTTTTTATTAAAAAAAAAATCTTTTAAAAGTAAAAAAATTGTCAATTTAAGACTTTTTTCATTGTTATTAGATAAAGTTATACAAACTTTCTACCAAGGTTATTGGACTTCCTATTCTAATAAGGGAGATTCACAAAAATACCCATTTTTCAATACTTCTTTTCAAAAATGCTCCATTTGGCTGTCTATTTTTAAAAAGGGAAAATTCTCGAAAAAAAACCAAACTAATTTTATTTGGACGTTTAATACCCAATTATTTTGGATTGGAATAAAAATACCCCATCTAATTATTTATGGTTAAAAAATACCTTATATATAAATTATTGGTAGAATCGAACACGCAACTTAACGACGGTTAACGGACGTAACGGAATTATTTAACGGTGTGAAAATTTTAATCTCATATATTTTAATCGATATATACCTTCTGTTTTAGAAGACTTCTGATTATGTCGTTATGGCCTGTTGGTAACGCGTGCTTCGGTTGTCAACTAGGCTCGGGTTCGAGACCAACTGTACGCGTGATTGGTTATTTCTGGGATAATTTTTTTTTTTTTCCTGTTTTTCTAACCCTAGCCGCCGACCAGTCAAATATAGTCCTTTATCGGATTTGTTTCCTCCCCATCTCCGCCGTCGACTATAGTCGCAGAGATGATAGTTTCATCAAACCTATGAACAAGAGCCTCTAATTCCGCAATTTTCAAGGCTTTTAGACTCTTCTGCTCCTAGATCGAGTCATAAATCGCCGCTACGTCTTCCGCAAACCTCCGCCACAGACTCCCCCGCTGTAATCCTTCGCCACAGACTCCCCCGCTGTAAACCTCCGCCACAGACTCCCCCGCCACAAATCTCCGCCACTGGTCGACGTCTAGGGTTTTAGAGAAACAAAAAAAAAAAAACCCAAAAAAATAACTAAAATGACATTCAGTTGGTCTCGAACCCGAGCTTGTAAACTAAATAAAGTCACATGTTACCAACAAGCCACAACAACATAATCATAAGTCATGTAAAACAGATTGTATATATAGATTAAAATATATGAGTTTAAAATTTAACACCGTTAAATAATTCCGTTACGTCCATTAACAGTCGTTAAGTTGCGTGTTCGATTCTACCAATAATTTATATATGAGGTATTTTTTAACCACAAATAATTAGATGAGGTATTTTTATTCCAATCCAAAATAATTGGGCATTAAACGTCCAAATAAAAATTAGTTTGGGTTTTTTTGGAAATTTTCCCTTTTTAAAAATACCCTTTTTATGTACAAAATGACTAAATTACCCTTCTTTTAATAAAAGATATCACAAATATATAAGGAAAACATGAGAATGTGCACACATCAAAATTACAAATTTGATTTTGTAAAAACTTGTAAAACCTTTAAAATACATTGTAAAATTTTCCAGTAAAAATTTTTCCTGCCAAAAAATTTTTTTTGCGGGAAAAGTGATTCCGCAATTTTTTTGGCTGGAAAATTTTTGGCGGAATAAATTTACAAGGTATTTTAAAGGTTTTTACATGGTATTTATAAGGTTTTACAATGTATTTTAAAAGGTTTTACAACGTATTTATAAGGTATTTATAAAATATTATAAGATTTTACAAGTTATTTTATAAGGTTTTACAAGTTATAAGATTTTACAAGTTTTTTATAAGGTTTTACAAGTTATAAATACCTTATAAAACCTTATAAGTACCTTGTAAAACCTTTTAAAATATATTGTAAAACCTTACAAAACACTTGTAAATACTCTGTAAAACCTTTAAAATACCTTGTAAATTTTTCCCGTCAAAAATTTTCCCACCAAAAAATTGCGGAATCACTTTTCCCGAAAAAAAAAAATTTTGGAGGGGAAAATTGCGGGATCACGTTTCCCGCCAAAAATTTGCGGGATCACTTTTCCCGTCAAAAAATATTTTGTATTTTGTGGACCTAATTTTGTTTCAAATTAGGGTAAAATGGTCATTAAAAATTTAAAGAGGGCAAACTTAAAAATGGACTCTCAAAGCATGCATTTTTGAAAATAGGTATTGAAAAATGGGTATTTTTAACAATTTCTCTTCTAATAAAGTACCTTTTTAAAATAAAATTTTGTCATAAAGTAATGTAAACTTTTTAATAAATTTGACATTGATGTCGGCGGTGTTGAAGGTTAGATACGGCTCATCATGCCATGTGTGGTTAATTAATATGTAACCAACTTTGAAGATTATACAGAGTAAGCTGCAACGCAGTTAATTTCTGGTCCAGGCGGAGAAAGTTGCCTGGTGTTGTTTTGTGTGAGACAATCAATTTTTGGAAAAACTTTATACTCCCTCCGTTTCACAAAAAGTGTTATTTTAAAGTTTTATTTTTGTTTCATAAAAAGTGTCGTTTTGTATTTTCAATGCAAAATTTTGAATAAAAATCCAATTTTAACCTTATTTCTTTAATGTATTAATAGAAGAGATAATTTAGTTTAGTGTATTGATAAGGGGCATAATAGAAATTTTAATAGTTTTTAATATGTGTGAAAAAGTGTAGAATTACACTCTTTGTCAAACAGAAGGAATATATCATCGAGAGACTAAAAATTTTGGGCAAGCTTTATATATCCAAGAGACATCTCATATTTAAAGTTCCCTTTAATTATGAAACTTTTATATAAATTTATGTGTTTTCTAGCTAGCTTATTCCATTTTGTATCACATGCTAGCCTGGTTTGCCCCTATAGTGGGGTTGTTCTCTTCTTTTACCCCTACTTTTGTCGCGTTAGTCGCTCAACCAACGACAGTGACAAGAAAAATAAAAGGTCCAAATGCTTTCATACTCCATCGTAACAGTCAAAAGCAAAACTATTTTAAAAGTCTACTTCACATAAAGATGCAGCCACGGGAAAATGAGCTGTTGATAAACAGTCCTTGTTGCCGCGTTATTCTCAGTGTGTTGCTGGAATTTTTTGTTGTTTAAAAGAACATTTCCCATAGTATAAATAACTTCCATATTTATTTATTTATTTTCACAGAGTAATTTTTAATCTTATTTTCTGAATTTTTACATAAATGATTCATATGTAAATCTGGACTTGGTCCGGCCTAAATCACATAAGAAGGAATATTGTTTTTGGTTGGTCATGAGGCCCATATCGGAAATGAAAAAACCCTAATTCACATAAGAAGATACAATGTTTTTAGAAGTTTAATTTAGTCTATTGTAAAGATACGACTTGGCGAACCACAAGTAGGAGACTAAACCAATGGAGCTGAGACAAGCGAGTAGCCAGTAGAAATAATCTAGATGAGCATGGTTTAAGTCATTATCGAACCAGCTCGTTTGACCAGACTGGCTAGTGACTTTATCAATGACTGATATCATGAAGCTGCTTAGAAAGTTTCCGACCCCGTATATGCTTAGATTCAGAGCCATACCAACACTCCTAAGCTCACTGGGGACTTGGTCGTAGAAGAACTCTTGCAAACCCACCATGAACACGTCCGAGACTCCATAAAGAACGTACTGTGGAACCAACCACCACACGCTCATTAGTATTGTGACATTATCATGAGCGATTTGGAGCCTTTTTCTCTCTACCAAGGCGGCTACTACCATAGCAAGGATGGAGAGAAAAATCCCTGTGCCAATCCTTTGTAGCATTGTGATTCCTGAAGGGTTATGAGTGAAAGATCTTGCGACTGGGACGAGGAGACGGTCGTAGATTGGGATAAAAATGACCATTGTAAGGCTTATGAAACATTGGAGTGTAGCCGCAGGGACTAAGAGTCCTGGAGAGATTGATCTGTCCATTTTGGCTCCTTGCTTTGTGAAGAAAGTATGGGATTGTGCACATACAATAGCGTAGACTAAACAAGTCAGCCATATGGGAACAAGCTTAAGCACCGCTTTTGCTTCTTCAATTTCAGCAAAACTACACGAAATCGCTGCCTTGTCGAGGAACCTGCCACAATATATATATACACGAACCAAGATGGTATAAGAACAATTGTTTGTGGCTTCGAATATTTTAAAGATAAGTAACATAAATGTTAATTATGTTACCTGAATTGCTTGGAACTCTGGTAAATGAGAAGGGTCTCGTTCGGGTTAGCTATATATGAATCTGGTTGCGTTCTATTCTTTAAAGCAACCATGAAAACACGACTGATTCTAGCAAACGGATTTTTCTTTCCTCCTCTTGTAGCACTAAAGCGGTAAGTCTTAGTGCCAAGAAGGAAGAGAAGCAGAGCAAGTAGCATGGAAACACTTGGAATACCAAATCCTAAGGACCAACTTAGGTATTCTTGAATGTAGCTAGAGACCAATCGAGTGGTCAATATGCTAACACAACTTCCAAACATTAACCAGTTAAAGAAAGAACTCTTGGCTTTTGCCTCTTTGAGATCATTTCCATCGAATTGATCTGCTCCAAATACCTTAATACACGGTTTGTAACCGCCTTGTCCTATTGCTATAAGATACAGAGAGCAGAAGAAGAGAATCACTTGGAGTTGATTTGGATCTTTAGAGTTAGAAGGAGCCATGGCTGAAAAAGACAGCAACCCAAGTCCCTGCTTGTTTCATCAAATCATTTTAAGAAACAACACATGACAGGTTTTAGTAGAGACGTTTAAGAGGAGATTGTTATATACCAAGATATAGAGAGAAGACGCGATCACGATTGTACGGAAACGTCCAAGAAACGAGTCAGCGATAAAGCCCCAGAGAAGGGGCAGAAACGACACCGTTCCAGTCCATGCGTTGACATTGGCTGCAGCGGCAGCTGTTGACTCCCCCAGTGGTCCGGTCAGATACGTTATCAAGTTCGAGGAAATCCCGTAAAAGGCGAACTGTTCCGCCATTTCGACACCTACAAACAAAGAAAACCAAACGGAATCTCTAAGAGTTTAGTAAAGGTAATTTGGTGAGGGTGATCAAACTTACTAACCGATGATTAGCCTGGCCGATTTCCATCCTCCAGAGGATAATCTGAGGGTTGGCTTGTCCATGGAACTCTCAGTGGGTCTCAGAGGAAAGGTACCTTCTAGCTTATTGCAGGCGATCGCCATTTGCTTTTGTCTTACGGAAAATAAATAATGCTTTTTGTCTTTATGAACAAGAAGATAATAATTGAGTAGTTAAATCGGCTGCATATGTGCTTTGTTTTATTGTTTTTAAATATTAGAAAGTGGCAGGACTTGGTGCTCTCGTTATTGTTACTAGATTTGAACCCGCGGTACACCGCGGGGTTATAATTATTTTTAAAAAAATCTAAATATAATTATTTTTGTTTATTAATAGAGAGTATACTATAATATTTCGACCTATTTTATAAATGTACCATCCATATGTCTATATTAATAGTTTTGAGTATATTAATTGTGTTTTAGGTTTAAATGGTATATCTATATATACACTTAAACGACATTTGGCTTTCTTCTTCTTCTTGCCTCAGTTTAGGAGAAAGATTTTTCTTGCGGTACACCGCAGAGCTATTATTTTTTTTAAAAAAATTTCCTTCCTTAAACTTCCAAATCTAGATTTTACCCCGCGGTACACCGCGGATCGATTTTTTTATAACTAAAAAATTATTTTGCAAAATTTTAAGTTGTATTTGTTTTGTTAATATTGTTTATTTTGTTTAGTGTTTCTGATTTTATAATTAAATTTTGATTTTTAATTCTAGGATTTCATCCATAGTATATTGTTTAATATTAATATTGATCTAAACCCGTTGCACCATATAACCCCGTCCCGTAAAATTAAACATCATTTGTTATTTTTTTGAATAATATTTTTATCCACTACGGGTCGCAGGTTCATGCGGATAAGCCCGTAGATAGTTGCGGGTTTGCGGGTCGACCCGCCAAAAGAGAAGCTATCTTTTGAAACCCTTTGTTTTGTTTAGAGTTTTAAGAAAATATCCCTAAAAAATAATTTTCATTATATAAAAAAAAAAAAGTAGAAGAAATTGTAGTATCAACATTCCCGATTTTTACATCACTCGTTACAATTATTTTATTTTTTTTGCAGATAAAAATCAGAAGTTAACTAAGTCGAGATTTTGAAAAAGATTGAGTAGAGATTTTTGGTAAATTGTTGAGAACATATTTGATTTCAAAATCTTTACTTAAATAAAATAAATCTAAATAATTAATGCTAATGGCATGTCATTGTAAATACTTCTCAACTTCAGGATTTATTTGCTAATTGTGATCCAAAAATGTATATATAGATTTCGATTTAATATATAAGTTCATGTGCACTCTGCACTCGCGTGGTTTAAAGATTTAAATTGATCTGAATGGATATAAAATATAACCAATACAAAAATGAGATTCCGGTTCAAGATTTTGCTTTAAAAAACGTGTCAGTGATTTAAATAAGTTAAAAGAGTGTGTCACAAGCAAGTTGGATCCATCTGAATAGGTTCTTTTATAAAAATTTATTGTCGAATTTTTTTTTTCCTTAAAAGTTTTAAATTCTGGAACGTAAATATTATCAAAATAAGCTTTGACAATAAATTTCTCTCATCTGTTTGTGTAGTTAATTTTTTTCATTTGTTATATAATTTTATAGAGCAATAGAGTATTATATCATATTATGATAATATTTAATTTTACATGATTGATTTCTTAAGACTAGTTGTATTTCTATAAAAGTAACTCCAAATATTAAGACTTACTATTTATAGGAAATGCTTATTTCCTTGGTTGTGGAATCCACAAGCCCAATTTAGCTGGCAGAACAGAGGAGACAATGCTTTAAAAGGTGTTTGGTCTGTTGTAGACATATGACTTGGCGAACCACAAGTAGGAGGCGAAACCAATGAAGCTGAGACAAGCGAGTAGCCAGTAGAAATAATCTAGATGAGCTTGGCTCAAGTCATTATTGAACCAGCTCGTTTGACCAGCTTGGTTTGTGACTTTATCAATGACTGATATCATGAAGCTGCTTACGAAGTTTCCGGTCCCGTATATGCTTAGATTCAGAGCCATACCAACGCTCCTAAGCTCACTAGGAACTTGGTCGTAGAAGAACTCTTGCAAACCCACCATTGTGAAGACGTTCGAGACTCCATAGATAACATACTGCGGAACCAGCCACCACACACTCATTAGAATTGTGACATCATCATGAGCGGTTTGGAGCCTTTTGGTCTCGACCAAGGCGGCTACTACCATAGCAAGAATGGAGAGGAAAATCCCTGTGTCGATCCTTTGAAGCATTGTGATTCCTGATGGTTTTTGAGTTAAGGATCTTGCGATAGGGACAAGAAGACGGTCGTAGATTGGGATGAAAACGACCATTGATAGACTAGAGATACTTTGGAGTGTAGCTGCAGGGACTAAGAGTCCTGATGAAATTGACCTGTCCATTGTGGCTCCTTGCTTTGTGAAGAAAGTAGGGGATTGTGCAAATACAATGGCAAAGACTAAGCAAGTTATCCATATGGGAACAAGTCTAAGCACCGTGATATACTCTATATTTACCGCTTTATCATGGTTGTTAAGATCCATTTTATTGTGTTTCATTAGTATTTTCATTGTGTTTTGTTGCATTTAGTGTCCAAGTGAGTCTTCTTCCATTTTAGAAGTCCTATAGTGTCTTTGTTTGTCTTTTATTGTCTTTTGTGTGTCTTTTGAGCAATTTCAGGTTAAAATAATGGACGACACACATTTGGATGCAAAGAAGAGAATTGATGATTCAGAACCAGTCCAAAGTCCCTCAAAGATCGACTCAGATGGAAGTCTTTCATTGCGATTTAGCTTCAGAGCTCTTCATACAAGTTATAAGAAATTGAGTTACCTTTCTAACGGAGGTGATTTCAAGCGAATCAGAGCTTCGATGCAAGAATTATGGTGGTTTTAATGGAGATATATCACTCTGGCGCGGAAAAGAACAAAGGAGGAGCCATTGAACATTTCAATCGACCTGTTGGTCGATTTAATGGTCGATTGGGACGATAACAGGCCGCAAACGAGAAGCAATCGAGGGAGCAATCGACCGATGCATCTATAGAAGCCTTTGCAAATTTTTGGGTTTGACCCGGTTTATCTCGTGTCAACCCGGTTCGATTCTATTTTGTATTTAAGCAATTTTTAGACATTTTGTAACCGAAGTTTTCTTCTCTAGAGTTGGATTTAGATCCAAACTCTCTTCTTGATATTTTGGATTGATCTTCAACAAATTGTTTTCACATGAAAATAACATATTAGGTCATCTTCCCCCTTATAGTTATTGATATGAAATTTCTGACAAGGACAAAGATTGTATAAACTCAATATGGCCTCAATGATTCTATAGTAAAAACATTGATTTCTGCTAATTATGTTACCTGAACTGTTTGGAACTTTGGTGAGCCAGGAGAAGGCCGGTCTCGTTCGAGTAATTAGCTATATCTAAATTGGGTTGTCTTCTGTTCTTTAAAGCCGCCATGAAAACACTTGGGATACCAAATCCTAATGACCAGCTTAAGTTCTCTTGAATGTAGGTAGAGACCAAACGAGTCGTCAATATGCTAATACAGTTTCCAAACATCAACCAGTTGAAGAAAGAACTCTTGTCCTTTGCCTCTTTTAGATCATTTCCATCGAATTGATCCGCTCCAAATACCTTAATACACGGGGTGTAACCGCCTTGTCCTATTGCTACAAGATACAGTGAGCAGAAAAAGAGAGTCACTTGGAGCTGAGAAGAACATGAGACGCGTTGACTCTGATCTTGATCACAGTGAGAAGGAATCATAGCTGAAAACGAGAGCAACCCAAGTCCCTGCTTGTTTAAATTTGTATCATCACACACCATCTAAGATATGAAACAATATCGAAACTTGTGATAATAGAAACGTTTGAGAGGAAACTGTTATATACCAAGATATAGAGAGAAGATGAGATGAGGATAGTACGGAAACGACCGAGAAACGAGTCAGCGAGAAAGCCCCAGAGTAGCGGCAAAAACGAAACCGTTCCAATCCAAACATTGACATTCGCTGCAGCTGCAGCTGTTGACTCACCCAATGGTCCGGTCAAGTACATTATCAGGTTTGACGATATACCAAAGTAAGCGAACCGCTCCGCCATTTCTACACCTACAATTATCATTAGAAAAACAGAAGCGAATTAACCTATTGATCAGTCTATTATTTGGTGTGACCGTGTGAGTAAGTAACTCGAATGAGCTTACTTACTGATGATGAGCCTCGCCGATTTCCATCCACCGGAGTTATTTTCGAGGCCATTGGCGGTGGAGCCGGTAACAGCCCTTGTGTATGATTGATTTGTTTAAAATATTAGAATACAGACAAATGCGTTTTTGTAGTATATGATTGTGGTCGTAATTGCTTCGCTGGCACGTTATATGAACACGTTAACAAGTTGTATTTTTGTTTGTCTTTTCTTCGGAGTCGTTGATTTAGGGAAATATTAGTTAAAAACAAGAAGCCCATAACTTTTTTTTTTTTCTATTATATTGTAGAATCATTGTGAGACTATGAAAATGATGTTACATCAAAAAATCGCTAGGCGCTAATCGGACGGTGAGTCTGGGCCTAGCGCCTAACAAGAAAATTGGAGATTAAACGGCGGGGGCTAGTTTTAAGGCAATTTAATATTTTAAAAACATATTAATCCATTATAAATAAGAAATTTATATAATATTGTTTTTAAAATTGTATTAAACACATGAAAACAATAATTTAAGGTAACTTATGATTTTTATACAAATTATGAACATGAGTGGGACGTTTTGAATTTTAGATTCAAAAAAAGAAAAAAAAAATTGGGCTAGGCGCCGTCTAAGCGGTCTAGCGGACAAAAATCGGATCACCGATTTTTTTTACCGATTTGGACAAAATCGCTGCGGTCCCCACCCGATCAGCGTCTAGGCGGCCAATTTTTAGAACAAGGTATATACATAAGATAAAGATAAACAGCCGGTATTTGCGCCACAAAAATTATGTGTTTTTTTTTTATAGCAAATTACGTCCAATAAACTTCTAAATAATTGGAGATGTGCCTTTAGTCAAATGGTTAACTCCATTTGATTCCGCTTTCCCACCGGAGTTTGACTCCACTAAATCGCGTTATCCCGCGTAGTCATTGCTTCTTAGCTCCGTGGGAACAAATTACGTCCATTCTTGTTCAAATTCTTTTGAGCGTTTGTGATGCCACAATGATCTAAAATTTTTATTAATTCAAAAACATCTCTTCTAGTCATTTTATTATTAATTGTATTGGGGTGCTATTACAAATTCACAATCGATCAAAGTTATATCTCAGTGTAGAAACCAAATTTTGAAATGAACATACAAATATTGCATTTTGATGTGCATTTGAATGCTACATCGAGATGAACAAACATACATGCCTCTCTTCCCCCATATATGATCAGCCATCTTTTTTCCTAGCATGCTTCTTCCCGAACCCGGTTACATCAATATAGTGTGCAGAACAGAGAAGACAATGCTTTAGAAAGTGTTCGGTCTGTTGCAGGCATACGACTTGGCGAACCATAAATAGGAGGCGAAACCAATGAAGCTGAGAGAAGCCAGAAGCCAGTAGAAGTAATCTAGATGAGCTTGGTTCAAGTCATTATCGAACCAGCTCGTTTGACCATACTGGCTAGTGATTTTATCAATGACTGATATCATAAAGCTGCTTAGGAAGTTTCCCGCCCCGTATATGCTTAGGTTCAAAGCCATACCAATGCTCCTAAGCTCACTAGGGACTTGGTCGTAGAAGAACTCTTGCAAACCCACCATTGTGAACACATCTGAGACTCCAAGGATAACATACTGTGGAACCAGCCACCACACGCTCATCGGTATGGTGAGGTCATCCCGAGTAGTCTGTAGCCTTTTGGTCTCGATTAAGGCGGCTACTACCATAGCAAGAATGGAGAGGAAAATTCCTGTACCAATCCTTTGTAGCATTGTGATTCCTGATGGTTTTTGAGTAAAGGATCTTGCAAATGGGACGAGTAAACGGTCGTAGACGGGGATGAAAACGACTATTGAGAGGTTTATGAAACTTTGAAGTGTAGCTGCAGGGACTAAGAGTCCTGGTGAGATTGACCTGTCCATGGTGGCTCCTTGCTTTGTAAAGAAAGTAGGGGCTTGTGCATGTACAATGGTGTAAACTACGCAAGTTATCCATATGGGAATAAGCCTAAGAACCGCCTTTGCTTCTTCAATTTCAGCCAATTCACATGAAATAGCTGCCCTGTCTAGGAATCTGCATAGTATCCAAGAAAACCAAATTCATCTAAAAATCAACTGGTATATATTAATCTATATGTTAGATCATTATTTTTCTTATATATATATATATATATCGATGTGGATTTTCTAATAGAAACCATGATGGTATGAAATGATGAAAATGAAGACTCTCAAATGAACATCTCTGTTAATTATGTTACCTGAACTGTTTGGAACTCTGGTGAGCCAGGAGAAGGAGAGTCTCGTTCGCGTTAGCTATATCTAAATCGGGTTGTCTTTGGTTCTTTAAAGCCTCCATGTAAACACGACTGATTCTCGCAAAAGGGTTTCTCTTTCCTTCTCTCTCAGTACTAAAACGGTAAGAGTTAGTTCCAAGGAGGAACAGAAACAGAGCAAGCAACATGGAAACACTTGGAATACCAAATCCTAGTGACCAGCTTAGGTTCTCTTGAATATAGGTAGAGACTAAACGAGTCGTCAAGATGCTAATACAGTTTCCAAACATCAACCAGTTGAAGAAAGAACTCTTGTCTTTTGCCTCTTTTAGATCATTTCCATCGAATTGATCAGCTCCAAATACCTTGATACACGGTTTGTAACCGCCTTGTCCTATTGCTACAAGATACAGAGAGCAGAAGAAGAGAGCCACTTGGAGCTGATTCGAATCTTTGCGGTGATAAGGAATCATGGTTGAAAAGGACAGCAACCCAAGTCCCTGTTTGTTTTGTTTCAATTAATCATCTAAAATCTTTATCATTAACGAAACTTCTGGTAAAAGAAATGTTTGAGAGGGTTATATACCAAGATATAGAGAGAAGATGAGATGACGATAGTACGAAAACGACCGAGAAACGAGTCAGCGACAAAGCCCCCGAGAAGCGGCAGAAACGACACTGTTCCAGTCCAAGCATTGACATTCGCTGCTGCGGCAGCTGTTGACTCACCTAATGGTCCTGTCAAGTACATTATTAGGTTTGACGCTATGCCGAAGTAAGCAAATCGCTCCGCCATTTCTACACCTACAAAATATTAGAAACAAAAACAAAGAGAAATTAGCAAAATTTGTGAGAGAATTATTAATGAGGCCTACTATAGAGTAATGAATTCAATCATGCTTACTTACCGATGATGAGCCTCGCGGATTTCCATCCACCGGAGGTATTTTCTCGAATTTCGAGAAAACCCTCAGTGGTATTTTCGAGCTCATTGGCGGAGGAACGGGTGATTGCCATTGTGTATGATGATTGATTGGTTTTGATATATCAATATACAGACAAGTGCTTATTTTATTGTTTTTATAGTGTCTATAGGTAAAGACAAGATTGTATGATGAAGATATTAGGTATGGGACGTAATTGGCGTCGCTGGCAAGTTATATTGATGAACAAGATTACAAGATACCAATTAACTCGTGATTCATATGGACTTTGTTTTTTAGCAGAAGTCCCTGGAAGGACCATATATGTTTTGTTTTATTCTTTGTTTATTTCGAAAGCCGTTGGAACATGTTCAATTAGTTAGATTCCTTGCGTTCTTGAACTTACACATATATGATGAAGATTGTCATTATGTATATTTTATTAGCCACAATAAACTTTGCTTGATCGAATGATAGTTACATGGAATCACAATTTAATATCAAATTTGCAAACAAGAAACTGAGGTGATAATTACAAATTCCCATAAGAATCATAAACCACAAAAAGAAACTCTCCATTTTCTCCATTAGTAAGTACACTCAGTCCACCCGGCGATATATATACGACCTGGAAATGAACAAGAACGTAAAGAACCCAACGGCACTAACAACCGCAACTAACCAATAGAAGTAATCGAGATGGGCTTTGTTTAGATTACTGTTAAACCAGCTATTTCCGGCGTCTCCTCCAGTGGCCAAGTCGATCAGAGAGATGAGTAAGCTGTTAATTAAGCTTCCCACGCCTAACGCACTTAAGTAAAGTGCGAGACCGATGCTTCTCAGCTCAGTGGGGACTTGGCTGTAGAAGAACTCTTGCATTCCTACTAATGTGTGTACATCAGCCAATCCCAGCAATATATACTGAGGGAACAACCACAGTATCGACATTGGAAGAGTTGTTTTCGGTTGGTCTATAAGTCCGTATTCTTTTGCAGTCTGGAGCCGCTTTGACTCAACCAAAGCTGCCACCACCATAGTGAGAGTTGCTAGTACCATTCCGGTTCCAATTCTTTTGAGCGTTGTGATGCCACAAGGATCTTTGGTTATTGACCTTCCGATTGGAACCAAAACACGGTCGTAGATGGGGACAAAGAGAACAATTGTTATGCTGATAAGAGCCTGAAGAGAAGCAGGTGGGATCTCTAAACCTGGAAAAATTGTTCTTTCCATTGTGACACCTTGCTTTGTGAAGAAAGTCATGTACTGCGCGTAGGGTATCGCGTAAGCCAAAGTTGTAAGCCATACTGGAATAAGCCTAACAAGAGTTGTAGCATCGTCGACATCTCGAGACTTGCATGCCATTTCTCCTTCAGGAGAATCATTGGGGACAAGCAATGCTTTGTTGAGAAAACTGTCGCAAGAAAGTGGAAACTCATAATCATACAACAAGACTTCGAACCATAACCTCTATGTTAATCATACCTCAGCTCCTCTGGAGATTCTTGAGATGGATTTGCCTCTAGCTCAACTTTGTACAATTCTGAGGAACTCAATCTTTGGTTTTTGAATGCAACAAAGAAGACTCTACCTATCCTCGTAAACGGGTTGATTTCCTCTTCTTGTCTTCTTTTACTGTACCTATAACTCCTCCTCCCTAACACGAAAAGAACAAGAGAGATCACCATGAAGACACATGGGATTCCGAACCCGACCGCCCAGCTTACATTTTCCTGGATGTACACAACCACTAAAATCGCCAGGGCGATTCCTGCACACATACTAAGGTACCACCAGTTGAAGAAGGAGCTTCTGTCAGTATTCTCTTGCTGGTTCTTTTCATCAAACTGGTCAGCACCAAAAGCCTGAACACAAGGCTTGTGGCCACTTTGTCCAATAGCCACCAAATACAGAGAGAAAAAGAAGAGTGCATTGAGAAAAGAAGGTGTAGAGGTCACTTCAGTAGTGTTGGGAATCAGAAACGCAGATAAAGTCAGAAATGCCAGTCCCTGACATCAAAATTCAAACTACGCATTCACTTTCAACTTCAACTTCAACTTCTTAATATAGTTTAACATTCACTTTTTTCTATATCCGAGAAACCGAATCCAAACCAAACCGAAAAGCAAAAAAAACGATCTAAATTCTTTAGAAAACCTCGAACCCGAATCAAAACCGAAACCGTACCAAACCCAAACTGAAACCCGGAAGCCATAATCTAACTCACATTGCGGTTGAAATGAATCGATTTCTACAATTCCTTCACTTAATTCTAAATTCAGATAGAAAATCGAAAAAGAATGAGACAAACCAGGACGTAGATAAGAGTAGCGATGATAATTGTTCGGTACCGACCAAGAAAAGCGTCGGCGACAAAAGCTCCAAGAACAGGAAGAAGAGTGGCAATTCCCGACCAGGCGTTGACATTAGCGGCGGCTACCGCCGTGGATTGACCAAGTGGTCCAGTCAAATAACTTATTAAGTTTGATCCGATTCCATAGTAAGCGAACCTCTCCGCCACCTCCACACCTGCAAAAATGTCCTCAGAAAAAAAGAAAGAAGAAGAGAAAGTTGTGTAACAGAGCAGCTCGCGATTGGAGTTACCGATTATGAACAAGGCGGCTCTCCATCTACCGGTATTGGATCTTTTGGCGGCAAATCCACGGTGGTCAACGGCGTCCGTGACGTATTCTTCTTGAAGATAAATATCTGAAGCAGTCGTCATTTTCCTCTCTCTCCAACCAAAGAGACAGCAAACGTGAGTTGTTGAAAACGCTGCGTTTTCGCGGATGTCGAAAAAACTTTCATCCAAGAGGAAATGGACATTTTTTTTGGTAGGCAGAGGAAATGGACAAATGATTGGTATTGGTTTAAATTTATTTTAGAATTTTAAATACAGACAAATGATTCTTGTACTATTAGATATTTGTGTTATCTATGCAACTTTTTTCATTTCACTTCTTTCCCAACGTAGTTATCATATTTTGTAATCAGTGTGGATGTAGTTTCACTAATATTAATCAGTATCAGCTATCTTTGTTTATGTTGTCACTTTATTTTTCTTATCTGTTATTATCATTTGATCCAACGAAGATTAGTCGCATGTAAATATGTTTTGGTACTCAATAGTATTTTTCTTGTTAATCTTAGTTAACTGTTCTTACATGTTCAAATTTTTTACATCACAATAAGTGTTTTGTGTATATACCTATTTTTAAAAATGCATATATATTTTCTCTAACATCTTTGGATAGTCCGGACTGCACAACCATTATGGAGTCGTTAAAGAAGCATTTAGACACTATACTCCGTCCACCCGACGATAGATATACGACTTGGAAATGAACAAGAACGTCAAGAACCCAACGGCGCTAACAACCGCTAGTAACCAATAGAAGTAATCAAGATGGGCTCTGTTTAGATTACTGTTAAACCAGCTGTTTCCAGCGTCTCCTCCAGTGGCCAAGTCGATCAGAGAGATGAGTAAGCTGCTCAATAAGCTTCCCAAGCCCAATGCACTTAAGTAAAGCGCGAGACCGATGCTTCTCAGCTCAGTAGGGACTTGGCTGTAGAAGAACTCTTGCATTCCCACTAAAGTGTATACGTCAGCCAATCCCAGCAACAAATACTGAGGGATTAACCACCATATCGACATTGGAACAGTTGCTCCTGGTTGGTCTATAACTTTTGCAGTCTCGAGCCGCTTTGACTCAACCAGAGCTGCAATTACCATAGTGATAATCGACAGTACAATTCCAGTTCCAATTCTTTTGAGCGTTGTGATGCCACAAGGATCTTTGGTTATTGACCTGGCGATTGGGACGAAAACACGGTCGTAGATGGGGACAAAGAGGACAATTGATACGCCGATAAAGACCTGAAGAGAAGCAGGTGGGATCTTAACACCAGGAAGAATTGTTCTATCCATTGTGACGCCTTGCTTAGTGAAAAATGTCATGTACTGAGCATAGGGTATGGTGTAAGCCAGAGTTGTAAGCCATACTGGAATTAGCCTGATAAGAGCTGTGGCATCTTCGACATCACAAGACTTGCATGCGTTTTCTCCTTGAGAAGAATCATTGGGTACAAGCAATGCTTTGTTAAAAAACCTGTCACAAAATAATGTATAACCTCATAAACATAAACCATACAACAAGAATTGGAATTATAACCTATATGTTAAACATACCTCTGTTTCTCTGGAGATGTATTTGCCTCTAGCTCAACTTTGCACAATTCTGATGAACTCAATCTTTGGTTCTTGAATGCTACAAAGAAGACTCTACCTATCCTCGTAAACGGGTTTATTTCCTCTTCATCTCTTCTTTTACTGTACCTATAACTCCTTCTCCCTAACACGAAAAGAACGAGAGAGATCACCATGAACAAACATGGGATTCCAAACCCAAACGCCCAGCTGAACTCTTCCTGGATGTACACAACCACTAAAATCGCCAGGCAGATTCCTGCAGACAAACTAAGGTACCACCAGTTGAAGAAGGAGCTTCTGTCAGATATCTCTTGAGAGTCTTTTTTCATCAAACTGGTCAGCACCAAAAGCCTGAACACAAGGCTTGTGGCCACTTTGTCCAATTGCCACCAGATACAGAGAAAAGAAGAAGAGTGCATTGAGTAAGGAAGAAGGTGAAGAGATCACTTCCGTACTATTCTCGCTACAACTAATAGGAATCAGAAACGCAGATAAAGTCAGAAATGCCAATCCCTGACGCATCAAATTCAAATTTAATTTTCTACTTCTCAATCATGAAGAACAAGTAAGGCCAAAAAAAAAAAAAACTAAAGAGAAGAGACGAACCAGGACGTAGATAAGAGAAGCGATGATAATTGTTCGGTACCGACCAAGAAAAGCGTCGGCGACAAAAGCTCCAAGAGCAGGAAGAAGAGTGGCAACTCCCGACCAGGCGTTAACATTAGCGGCGGCTACCGCCGTGGATTGACCAAGTGGTCCAGTCAAATAACTTATTAAGTTTGATCCGATTCCATAGTAAGCGAACCTCTCCGCCACCTCCACACCTGCAAAAATGTCCTCAGAAAAAAAAGAAAGAAGAAGAGAAAGTTGTGTAACAGAGCAGCTCGCGATTGGAGTTACCGATTATGAACAAGGCGGCTCTCCATCTACCGGTATTGGATCTTTTAGCGGCGAATCCACGGTGGTCAACGGTGTCGGTGACGTATTCTTCTTGAAGAGAAATTTCTGAAGTAGTCATCATTTTCCTCTGTTTCTCCAACGAAAGAGACAACAAACGTGAAACTCGTTTTGAGTTGTTTACCTTAAAAAGGTATTGCTTTTGTCTTTTTTGATGATTAAAAAATCTAATTTTGTGGAAAGTAAAGTGAAAAAGGTTTTACAGAGCCCAGTAGCCTAGAGTACAGAATACAAAAGCCCATCAAGAAGTAACCCAATGTTGGAATTTGACCGAGACATTGAGGGGGAATCCAGAATCTTGAAGTCGAAACTTTTTTATTACTAGGTCTAGGTGAATATAAAAGCCTTGGCATCACAAAAATTTAACAGTTAGTGTGTGGTCAAAATGGATGTCACTATTTAAAAATGAGAATTAATAACTTAGTACCGTTAGCTTTGTTTGCAATTGCATTGAGAATTTGTTTGCAATGAGAATTAATTAATAACTTATACTGTACTAAGTCCATTTGTTTTGGAAAAATGAGAATTAATAAAACTTAGTACTACCACCTACCGGCACTGACGTATACACAAGAGTTATTATGCTTTTTCTTTTTTTGAAGAGTTATGCTATTTCTTGCCACAGAAATACTAGTACTGTTACATCAATTTCCAAATACGTGGATAGTTTCTCAACACACACTAACACACGAGTATTAAATTCTTCAAATTTTGGTGGAAGAAAAATATCTCATGAATCTATGTACCGACAACCACAAGGGATAGAGAATGCATAAAAGTTTTGTAAATATTTCTAGATCAATTATAATTTCACGTTTTACCATATTCATATAGTTTTATAGAGAACGGAAATATATGTGGTTTTGGAGTTTTGAAATGATGTATATTTTGAACTTAAGTGACAAAAATTAGGCATGTAATTTGTAACAATTTTCTTTTTTTGTCAACTTTACTACATTTCTTCTAACCAACACTTCAAAACAGATTTTTTTTTTTTATATATGTTTATCTAAGGAACTATCAAAGAATATAATTGAGTAATTAAGTACTACTCTCGACAATTGCCACCATCTCTTGGACCCATCATACATATACAATAAAGTGTGGTAAAGAAGCATTAGTTAGCTTCTCAACAACCTCATTTAACTACAACAATGTATATAAATAGCTATGTCCTATGTGTATTATAAATAAACCATTTGCATATATATAGTTTATACTTTGTAGAATAATATACCATATAACCTGAAAATAGAAAGAGAGATATATATGGCAATAGAAAGGCAAGTATTGTTGGAAGGAGAGGAGCCAGTAAGTCCATTTGCACGGTTGTTTAGCTTGCCGGGTCTCGATGTCTTCAACATTGTAACCATTGGATGCAAAACCGAAGGCAATGCATCAACCATCATTGAAGGCATAAAGAACACTTTGATCAACCATCCACGCTTCTCTAGCATACTGGTAGGCAATCAACGTACACACACATAGACTCGTATGCACATGTACACACATTTTTATTGTTTATATCATATGTTAAGTTTCATGATTTCCAACTCCAAATCAATATCGAATGAGTGTATTAATCCATATCCACAATATATTACTTTAGGGTTCCTCCATTCAGATGTAAGATTCCTAACATCACATGATACATATGTAGGTGACTGGTCATGGTGAGCACAAAGGAAAAGCTAGATGGGTTCCAACGGAAGTAAAAGTAGAAGAACATGTAATTGTTCCGGATATAGATCCCAGTATTGAGAATCCTGATGAATTTCTTGAGGATTATACATCAAACATGGCTCTTTCTCCAATGGATATGTCCAAACCTTTATGGGAGTTTCATTTATTGAAACTTAAAACATCACATGCGGAAGCTGTGACCGTGGCTAGGTTCCATCATTCTTTGGGCGACGGGATGTCTCTTATGTCTCTTTTACTCGCTTGTACTCGGAAAACATGTGATCCCGAGGCATTGCCTACTTTTGTGGCTCCAAAGAAAAGCAAAGCGAAGAACGTTTGCTTTTCTTTGGTTGCTTGGTTATGGTTCGTAGTAAGACTTATGTTCCACACTTGTGTTGAAGTTATCAAGTCTATTTTTGTATGTCGTGCGAGGGACACCTCAGCTCATATAATGGGTAAACCAGGAACTACAATTAGCGCTAATAAATTTATTCATCAAATCATTAGTTTGGATGATGTCAAAATGGTGAAGAACGCCATGAATGTGGTACGTTTGCTTAATTAGTTTCCTTTTTTTCTTCTATTGAAAGATGATTTTTATGTTTTTTCTCTCTTTTCTATTAGACTGTAAATGATGTTCTTTTTGGGATGGTATAAGCTGGTCTTTCTCGATATTTGAACCAAAGATATGGTAAATCATTTAATCTTGTTTAATATCATAAATAATGTTTGTAACATGTTCTTACATTTTTTTCTCCAATTTGTGAACAGATCTTGAAACATCCTCAAAGTCAAGAAAAAATCTTCATGGTGTTGTTTTTTTTAATCTAAGGCCAAATAGAAATATTGAGGTGCTGACATAACATACCCCAAACGATCTTTGCTTTTTTTTTTTCGGTCTTGTTTAAAATAGTAAGAATCTAACATAAGTCTATATGCAGGATTTGGCAAATATGATGGCAAAAGGTTCAAAGTGTAGATGGGGAAACTCAATAGGTTATGTTCTGATTCCCCTGGAGATGAAGTCAAACGATGATGTATTTGAATATGTTCGACAATCCAAAACTATTATGGATCGTAAAAAACATTCTCTCGAACCTCTATTTTCCTATAGTTTGCTCAAATTAAATTAACATTGGAGGTTTTTGGATTAACGGTAAGATATTAAATCAAACATTATCTTAATTAATATACACTTCCAAATATAATAAACGTATTTTGTGAACCTGATCGACTTATATGGGTGTGTGGCGGTGGAAAACAGGCACTCAAGACTGATCTTGTAAACAGAATTTTCGGTAGCACAACAATGATATTCTCAAATGTGGTTGGTCCAGCTGAAGAAATTAGCTTTTTTGGCCATCAAATATCTTACATTGCTGCAAGTACCTTTGGTATCCCACAGGTAATCTCTTATCCATTCTTGAAACCATTATATTAAAAATCATATTCCTAATTTCTTCGGCATCAATTAGGCTACTATGTTAACCTCTATGTTAGAATATCCCAAATTATAAATGGAGATGATTTAACACTTAAGATATCATAACTCAATAGGCCCAAGCGGGTTTAACAATGTGGAATTCGGTTCGAGATGATAGAGCCAAAATATTCAATAACTTGGAGGGGCGTGTTATAATATCTCACAGTGTAGATGAAGATGATTCAACACTAGTATATGAATGATATGAGTTTCTCCATTCTATTCAACACTAATTTCGATGGTGTATTCTTCTTTAAACAAGGCACTCATTATTGGTATTCAAAGCTATGTGGATAAACTTATAATCAACATTGGAGTTGATGTAGACGTGATTCCAGACCCTCATCACCTTTGTGATCTCATCATCGAAGCTCTCCGCATGATGAATTCTGCTGCTCCAAAAAAGATTTTTCATGCGTCAAAGGTTTAAGCGAAACGTTTGGCGTGGAAAAGATGAAGAATGGAGCATAAATTTTCAAAGCCTTGTCTACTACTCTCTCTTTTTTATTTTTTTTTGGGTCAGCAACCATCTCATTATGAGTTTATCATCTTTATATGTACTATACTGTTCTTGTGTGTGATAATGAGTTACGGTTCAATAATTTCACTTTTCTTGTACTATGTTCTCTCGTTTATTTCTATTTGCAGTCCTTTGTCCTTATATGAAACTTTATATATATAAATAAGCAAAAAAAAAAGCACAAACCTCAAACCCAAAGGCCAAATGTGAAGGCATGACCTAATTATTACAAGATGTCTACATTACTACTTATCATTCGGAAATAGAAGAACCCTGATACCGTGACTAGTAAGTCAGTAAACAACAACAAAAAGCTAAGTTAGGGTTCGGGACCAGAAGAGATACTAATAAACAAAGGTATGCCTCAACAAGCGGTGCCGAGTCTCTGGCCAAGATAAACAAAGTGCCAGGTGAGAGACATAAGCGTCAATATATTCAACCAAGAGGAGTACGTGTTGAGCTTGCTCAGCCTCTCACTCAGCTGCTCCAATTTCCGCCTTAGCTCCTGCTCACTTGTCCTCTCTCCTCTTCCTTCTTCTTTTTCTGCCTTCATTCGCTCAAACATCGCCTGGCCACAACAACAACATAACCCAACCAACATTGTTTTACTAGTAGATCCCAGACCAACTTATATATGTCATATATAGAAATTACCAAAAAGAAATTTCAGGAACCAAAACAGTATAATAATGAAAAATAGAACTACGCATGAGATCCTCTCCTTCACATTATGATCCTTAATTTCCCTAACCGAAACTCAGATTAATCAGTCCTTTTCGTGTAATGGCATGGCCAACACAAAACAACCTTAGCGAAATGTAAACTAACCTTAGTGGCACGTGGCTCGACAAATGACTTATTAGACTCGATCATAAAGAAAGCGGACAAGAGGTTAACCCCTTGCCACATCTCCGTTGCGTCGGTGAGTAGTTTCCTCCTCCGGCTAAGCACGTGACCAAACAAACCCACAAGGATTCCCACAGAGGTCGCCTTGAAGTAAACAGGATACAGCTTACTCTGCACAACACCAAACTGTTGCCTCCCCAACACAGAGGCTAAAACGTAGCTTGACACAAACGTCACCCACACGGTAGTCCCAAACGCAGCCGCAATCGCGGTCAACCCCAAAATGCTTGCTACCTTAGTCGGACTCAACGTCGCTGCTGTAACTGACCCAAACTCCCGCGCCACATTCTTAACTCTCTCCCACACGTTCTTAGACTTATGAGCAGCCGTTTCCTTCAATTCTTGTGCCTTGTCCCTCACTCTATCTTTTGCCCTCTCTTTCGATTCATGGGCTTTTTGGGCTACCGTCTCCTTCACGTCATGAGCTTTCTCTCTTACCTTCTCTTTAGCATCATGGGCTTTATGAGCCACACTCTCTTTCGCATCATGGGCTTTATGGGCTACACTCTCTTTCACATCCTGGGCCTTCTCTGATACCTTACCCTTAGCATACTGGGCTTGATCAGCCACCCTGTCTTCCACGTCACGTGCCGCATGTGTAACCGTTTCCTTCACATCGTGAGCCTTCTGAGCAGCGGCTTCTCCGACATCAGAAGCAGTCTCGCCGACGGAATCGGCCGTTCGGTCTTTAGCCCGACCGACCACACTCGCGATCTTCTGCCTGCACTTACCAAACGCGTCGCATATAACTTCCCCAGCCGTCGCGTGGTGATCACGCGCCTCCTCTGTCATCACCGGCTGCGAGATTCCTTGGCCGACGTGTGGAAGATACGACGCCGTTTCTTTCGCTTTCTCTTTAACATTTCTAATCAAAGAAGTTCCCTTTTCTTCTTCATTCTCTTTTTCTTCTCCTTGATCTGCCGATGGTGGCGAGATCGAGACTCTGGTATTAGTTTTCCCGTCGCGATCGTACTCAACCACCACTACACGGTGGCCATCTTTGACGATGACGTCTCCCTCCGACGGCGGCGTTCTGTGGGTGGTCGTGGCTGGGCTCGGAGACCATACCTCCGCCGCTAGTAAAGTGGTCAAGAAAAGACACAAGGCCAGAAGATTCGTCATTACTTACTTATCGGTGATGTTTCCTCCTCTCTTCATATGTCATCAAATCTTATCTACCTACTAAGCCCAGATTTTTCCTTTTTTCTTTTAGCATCTAAGTGACACGTATCTCCACGTATTTGCACGTGTCGCCTATACGAGAAAAGTAACTTCTCGAATCCTTGACGATTGTTTTTGCACAGCAACCGAAACGGTCGTATATGAGTTTAGAAGAAACCACATAATGGGCCTAGTTTTGGTACATTGAGGCCCAGAATACAACTATGGATTCTCTATAATATAGTCTATATAGTGCTAGTGGGGAGAAACGAATCAAGCATTGTGGAGCAATACATTCTACATGGTTTCATCAAGGTCTGATTTCGTGAGTACATCACGGAATATTTCTTAGACAAGTAAAAGCCAAAAAATATTCGAAAGACGATAAATCTGACACAGATTCATTGGCGCACCAAAACTCTAGATGCTATACTAATCAACAAAACTAGAATGGTGAGAGAGCTTACGAACACTCCACACACTAGTGCCTTATCAATGAAACCCCAATTTGCTACGCTGCTTCCCGGTACGACGACCTCTCGCATCTCCGTCTCTTGTTTCTCTGACTTTCCCTTTTGATCATCTTGTCTTGAGATATTTCCAGAAATGTTACACGCCTCTCCTGATCTCTCTTCCCCACAGCTCTCAGCAGAGCAAGTGCAAGTCTCACAAGAACTAACATTCGACGAACAAGGCGGCTTTGTTTCTTCTCGGGATTTTGTTTCTCTATTTGCAGAGCTAAATGTCTCAATCACTTCCCCAAACACTGACCATCTCCCCACAGATGTTATCCTCGCCATAGCTGAAGTCCCAAGCATACTTTCTGGTCCAGTAACTAAGACCTGTACATATCCCTTCGTATGTCCAACCTACAAATTCAAGTGAGAATTTGTAAATGAAACAGTGTCGGCAATCAAAGAAATTATAGTTGCTTTCAGTTTTATTTGATATGAACTTTGGGGCAAAACGTAACAATGTATGTGGCTCAGGATGGGCTTACCAAATGAATTCCATCAGTTGCTATTTCGGTTATCCATATCCTCTCTTCTCTGCCCTCCATCCCGGTGTAAGGTGCAAAAGCCTCAAAGACAGAAGTCAAGTCACGGCTTCGTTGCTTCACTATTTTACTTTGTACCTTCTTCATCTTTGCTGCTGGGGTCCCTATATCATAAATGGCACATCCAAAAAATAATGTTTAGACCTATGAAACACTCCCACATTCCAGAACATAACCAAATCCTTGAGCTTACCTGGTCTGGGGTAAAACTGAGAAATATGAACTTGAGAAAACTTGTAATCCTTGATAAGTTCAACTGTTTGAGAAAAATCTTCATCGGTTTCACCTGACATTGGGAAAAGTGACAAACGTATCTTCAACACACCCTAATTATATGAACAATCAATGTGCTCAAGTCATTGACCATGTAACTATCCACATGCGACTAATGTGATTTTGCAGGGCGGTGTGATGTTTTTATGTCTCAACACTTAAATGAAGAGGAATATGTTATTCGAAAAAAATAAAAGACTTCCATGTTTATCCAGCACTAACCAGGAAAACCACATATTATATCAGTAGCAATTTGCATTCCTGGCACAAGCTCTGTCAAGGTGTCTACCACAGTCCTGAACTCACTTGCTGTATATTCCCTGTTCATGGCCTGCAACAAATATTGAGGTAAGACTAGAACAAGAATTTGGCAGTAGTAACCAACTCTGGACTCACCGTCAACACAGAATCACTGCCAGATTGCACAGGGACATGAAGAAAGGTGTAGACACATGGGTGACGTAACACTGCTGCTATTTCTTTCAAATGCTCTAGAATAAAGGGAGGATTAGTCATCCCAATCCTTAGCATTGTGCTTTGATCAGAAGGAAGCTCCTTAACGATAGCATTAAGCAGGATTGGAAGATTAACTCCTATGTCACGACCTGCAATATTTTGAGGATATTAGCTACCACCAAAAAGGAAATACAAAATTATGTCACAACTACTGAAAATAAGAAAATAAAGGTTTGAAAAGCAACCATATGCCCCAGTGTCCTCACTGCTCAACCAAATCTCCTTGACTCCTTCAGATATTACAGTTCGCACCCGCTCCACCTGCAATGTAATAATCTCAATTGGAAAAAAAAACAGAAAGGGGGAAAACGCTGGATACAAATCATAACTCTACTGTGAAGTTGAATCTGCTTACAAGACTATCGACTGTGTAGCTTCCTAAGTGACCACGGGCGTGCTTGGTCTTGCAGTAAGTACAGGCACCCAAACAGCCAACATTAATGGGGAGAATTTCGATAAAATTGTTCCTCCGCACCTGCAGTGGAAAATGACATTAATTCCCATTAATAGAACCCAAATGAAGTCGAACAAGAAATTGTGTAATGAAAGACTAAGCAAAATTATAGGATCAAAGAACTGTACTGAAATCAGGTTTTTGGCTTCTACTTATTTGGTGCTAGCCCCAGGAATAGCCATACTCAGCATTAAAGTCGAAAACAATCAAAAGTTGAAACTTTTACTCACCTTTGGGAGATCAAGCGCAGGCAAAGTCTTCCGAGTCAGAAGCCGCACTTCATGACCCTTAAGAGTTTCTTCAACGATCTCAACAACACGATCAATCTGTTGAACTCCAACTACACTAACGCCTTCTAGTTCTTTAAGATCACGACTGCCCTGAGGAACACATCCCGCAATCACAAGAGGCTTTTTCCCACTTCTACCCCTCGTTATCAAAGTAGACATTGCAGACTGACTAGGAGATTTCACAGTACAGCTGCATCAACCACACTTATAAGATACATTGTAAACACAAAGTAAATCTATATCGAACAAAATGCTGCATCATAAACTATAAAGTTACAATATTAGACCGGGAACAAGTAAACTATATTAGCTAACATTCCACACTCCTCATGAATATCTCAACAGCACAAAAACGTAGTCATTGCATTGGGTAAAAAGAACCCGAGGCGAAAGCTTACGTGTTAATGAGCCATAAATCAGCATCCTCCGGGACTTCTGTCAACGCATAGCCGAATGCAGTAAGCTGACCAGCCATATACTCACTATCACTCTGAAACAATAACCAAAACACAAGACAAGACCAGATACGATTAGCTTAACGTACTCTAGCTAAAAGATTTTTATCTCAAATTCTCAATCACTATAGTAACAAACAAGAGAAGTGTATTCCGATAAAGCAATCAGAAATCTATCAACATCAAAACACTAAGAACTCCAAAATCAAAATCAAACACTTAAGATTCATAAAATGACTCGCCTGATTATGAGAACATCCAAACGTCTTGATGTATATCGTCTGCGAAAAATCATCAAGACGAAATGTAAGTGCACGCAAAAACATTGATAGATATAATAGAAACCGAAGCAATGAGGAAATGAAATCGAGAGAAAGCGTAGGAGATTGACCTGAGTTCCTGGAATCTTCAACGATGGTGGAGCAAGCGAGTCACGATTCGAAGCAGTAATTTGATCCTGTTTCGAGCTAACACGTTTGCTCTTATTCGTCTTCGGATTTATCCCAACCGCATTCAACGGTAATCGGAATCCCGGTGGTGCACCACCGACTCCTCCGGCCAACAAATCCTCGATATCCTCCATTCTCTCTTCTCTCTCCACGGCGGCGCGTTTACGAGTGACAATGGAGTCTGTGGGGGTTTTCGCAGCGAAGCTGGAGAGGCACAGTGAGACTTAATGGGCCTGGGTCGGGTCGAATTCATGTTCAGTTACAATGACCCGATAGATCTATAGCTAACTAAAGCCCAATAATGCAAGACAACTGTAAAACGAAAAAGTTTATTGGATGAAGTGAACCGTCGAAACATTTAAACAGATGCAATTTTCTAAAAAAACAAACCATAAAATTTATATTATATAATTAAAAATTGAATAGATACAACTTTTTAAGAAAAACACAACCATAAATTATATTTTACAGTTTTTTTAAAATGAAGCGTTGTAATTTTTTAACAAAAACAACTTTCTACAAAACAAAACCAAAAATTTATATTATATAGTTACAAATTATACAAATGCAGCTTTTCACAACCGTAATATGAAAAAGTTTATTCGACGAACAGATGCAACTTTCTAAAAAACAAAAGTATAAAATTTATTTTATAGCTATTCAAAATTTTGAAAGTTATAAACTGAACATATGCAACTTTTAAGAAAACACAACCACAAATTATATTTTATAGCTATTAAAAAACATTAACGAAAGGTTGCAACGAAAACACACAACTATTTAGATTTTTTATAGTTTGAACATATGCAACTTCTAAAAAACACAATCTTAAATTATATTTTATAGTTATTAAAAAAAAACTTAACGAAAGGTTACGACGAAAATACAAAACTGTTCAGATTTGCAAAAGGCATTTGTTGAAATTGTTATTAGATTATCATCATTTATAAAATCTCGAAAACTTATTATGAATTTATGAGTTTGCTTTAATTGGACATTTGCCTTCTTTCTTTTTCAATTTAAAAATATATTACCAAAAGGAGATGAGAGAAACCTCCCAAATGTGTATTTTGGCATTTATCTTTCTTAATTATTATTTTCTCCAAATAATAGAAAAAAATCCAAAGTCGGAATAGGAATATGTTCGAAATATAAGATTTCAAATTTCTCTTTTATTTTTATTTTCATTGATTTAATTTTTTATATTAAAAAACAAAAAGATATATCATGTCCCTCACATATATATATATATATATATATATATATATATATTATCATTTCATTTCACAAAGTCTCAGATTGAATCTCATACCACATTGAAGAAAAAATACTAATTAATTTGTGATATGTCTAATCTCTCAAACCATTCTCCCCAGGAAGAACCACAACGATGTGTGGTAAGTCCTAATTTTCATTACAAACTGTAGAAAACACTCTGTTGAATTTTTAATTTTAAAAATATATCATTTGTGTGATGGAGAGGCTGATGTTGTTTTCCATGGGATAATCCATTTTTTCATGTTGTTTTTATTTGTATGATCATTTATAGATGTATCATTGTATATGATGTTATATCTTAAGACTTATGTGATTTTTAACTCAATATGTAACACATAAACCATTGTTTGCGCGCTGAAATAATCTAATCTATCATATAACCAAACTTTTTCTTATATTATGTCTTTGTTTGTTATTAAATGCATCTGTTTGTTTATTTAAAAATAATGTGATTTACTCAAATATTTTAATGATTAATGAAGAAATATATAGGTTTTGTTTCAAATTTTCGCGGGAAATTTGAATGAGATGTTTTCATTGTTTGTCAATAAGAACAATCTAAATTTAATGAGATTTAAAAAGAAAAAGTTAATAAGACTTTACAATCTAATGTATCATTTAGTATAATACTTGACTTTGTTATGAGTTGATTTTATTGTTAAATGTATGTCTTCTGTTTGGTATCTTTTAAAGAATGTAATATATCAAAGATTTCGTGATTGAATGAAACTAATTCATAAGTTTCACTTTAAATTCTCCCGCAAAAATTCAGTTGAGATATATCTTAATTTTCTCGCTCGAAAGCAATCTAATACTATATGATTTGATTTCACAAAACATTGATAATGATTTACATATAATAATCCAAATCATTGTTTAATTTTTCATAAACCTGTAAAAGATATTGGAAGTTGGGTTAAATAAAAACTTTAAAGATACTTGATTTCTGCTAATAATTTTTTGGTCAAAATTGAATAGGTTCTAGCTCTTCCCGCAGTCTCAAACACGTCGCTGCGACATCGATATATATGGTCTGGTAAGTTAAGTAGTTAGGTACTGCATTTTTCATTTTCATTTAATTTGATTATGGTTTGTATATTTGATGAGGAGGACGAAGAAACTTTCAGCTTTAGAAAATGTTGAATCTCTTAAACCTTTGAAAACGTTCCAGAAGAAAGAAAATATATATATATATATATATATATATATATATATATATATATATATTTATCCAAAAAAATTGATCCACTATATTTTTTTCTCAAAATTAGTTATTTCTGTATATAATTTTGAAATTATAGAATTTCAATATAATGAAGTTACGAGTTCAAAAGAAAAATTCTTTAGTGCAATACTATACTTTCATATGTATATAGACACATAATAATCATGTTACTATTCATCATATATATTGGGAGTCCATATCAATAGTAAATATGATTTAACAATGTAAGTTGTATGTTGAAGATATGTATTCACTAATATAACATGAACATATTTGTCGTATTAAGTATATAATTGGATAGTTTAATTTCATTATAGTACTTAGAAAATTTTAAATCCTAAGTTAATATATAGATATATATTTATTTATATATGTATACAATCGATATCCTAAACCCCATGCCTATGTGTGCAGGGAAGACGCGGTGGTGGTGATCGTAGTCGTGGTCGTGGTCACGGTCGTGATCGTGGTTGTGATCGTGGTCGTGATGGTAACCAAAGCCCTAATCGTAGCGGCAGCCGTAGCAATGGTGGTCGTGGACATGGACGTGGACGTGAACGTGGACGTGGACAAAGCCGTAGCCGTAGTCCCAGCCATAGCAATGGTGGTCGTGAACCACTATCTACCACAATTAACACAGAGGTGCTTTACAAACTCAAATGTCTAATTTAACATTTTAAATGTATTTATCCATTATTCGATAAATATTAAGTTATATATTGTAAATATGCATGAAAATGTATAACGTGTGTGTTTTCTTCTTTTACAGGAACATTTGACCATGCAAATTGAACCACCCTCTACCATAGTTGACACAGAGGTGCTTTACAAACGCAAATATCTAATTTAATACTTTTCACCTATTCTATTTATATTTGGATAAAAAAAAAAAATTGATGATAATTTTCGATAAATATTAAGTTATGTAGTGAAAATATATAATTTTTATCGATAAAACTTAATTTTCTTTTTTTACAGAATGATAATGAGGCCAACGACAACGTTGTGGAAGTTACTAATATAGAGAGTGGATGTAAAATTGATGAAACAGGTGAGAACGTTAAACTATACTATTTTTGTTACGAAGTACTTGACAAAAATGTTATTGTTTGATTCTTAATTGGTAAATTTTCAGTTCCTCCTAAAACTGACGAAGAGATCTTAGGAGATATAGACGACGATCTCCTCAGTTTAATGCATGAACTCCCACCTCAATCGATGTTTGATATCGGTTAGTATAAATTTTACACACACTTTTATATTCATATTAGTTTTGTGATTGTGAGCTATAATTTTATCTTTCAGCTGGTTTCGAAAACGGGTGGAGCGTCGACGATGATTTCAAGAAGTTTTAAGACAAAAAAGGAGTAACAATGTTTTCTTTCTTTCTTTTTTCTGGATAAAATTTGGAACAATGTTGGATTATGCTTTTTCTTTTTCTTTTTTTCTGTTAAGAACAATGTTGGATTATTTTTGTGAAATTAACTTCTATATGTGGAATTTCATATAATTATTTATTTTCATAATTTGGAGAAAGAAGTATTTCATAGTGGCACAATTCACCTTTTTATATTATATGGGCATTTTACAGAATCAGTTGTTTGTGGCTTTGTAGACAAAACAATATTGTTTTTAATACATTTATATCGTTTTTTAGGACCAAACCGCGAACAAAGGAACACATAAATATAAAAAATACATAAATAAACACCGACATGACATCGGAATGTGAATCGGATAATCGGATATCCAATAGACCATACCGTCGGGTACAAGATAAAAGGTCCATCACCAAGTCCCAAAAAGGGAAAGAATAAAAAAAAAAAAGATTTGTAATAATCCTAAAATGTTTGGTTGGTGAAGAAGAAGAAACGATGATACGAAATTTCCGGTTCAGAGCTCCGACGAATCACCCTGGTTCCACCACCATGCAAACCGATAGCCGCCGGTTAATCCGGTTTCAGACAAGATGTTGTTCGTCACCAGATCTTAGCCATTACACGATTCTTGGCTTGACCCCTCTCGCTTCCCAAACCGAAGTCAAACGTGCCTTCAAACGTCTCGCTCTTAAGGTTAATTCTTGTTTGTCCCTTTTTGTGTCTATTTTCGCTTTTTTTTTTTTAAAGAAAGTTCAAAAAACTTTATGATATTTGACGAATCAAATCAAGAAAACAAAAGGAAGGATTATAATTAAATAAGACAAAATGAGTTATTGCAGTATCATCCAGATTTGCACAAGGGACAGGATAAAGATTTCAAGGAGATCAAATCCGCTTACGAGGTTTTTTCTTTTTTTTCTTCTTTCTGGTTTCTTGATTTTTTGGATATTTAATTTTTCTTCAATTAGGATTAAAAAAAAATCCGTAATATTTTTTTACTTCTTGATTATGTGATGTTTAACTAGCCATGGTATAACGTAATTGAACCCTTATAATGTTTTTCAACATATTTGAATAAAACATTGAAAACTTTCTCTAATATTCATTAAATTTCAGTGTTTGATGCAAAAGTTTGAGAAAGAAGTAGAAGAAGAGGAGATTACAGAAATGGGTGAAATCGATGAGTGGGAGGAATGGATGGGATTCGAAGGAGGGATACCATCAGGTATTTCTTACTAGACATAATCATTTGTTACAATGGATAGATGTAGAATCAGAGAGATGGAGAGTACAATTTTTTGGAGCAAGGCAACAATTGCATTTTGGAGGAAGCTTCTCTTCGCCGGAAGAACGACAAGTCATGTACTCTACTTGTAAGCAATAGAGAGGACACGCGATCGCTGTTTTCGTTGTAGTAACTCCAGGGATTACTCCTCCTAGAATAGCTCCTAATGGATTTTTCAAAACAATAAAACAATAAATATGATCAAACATGATCGGTTACATAATTGAGGATAGAAATTTGTATGTTTCTTTATAAAAAGCTGAACCTGCTACGATGAGAGACATCACCCAAATCTTGTATATAGAAGCCATACTTTCTTGGAGGATTTCTACTTATCCTGGCTTTTATATAGAAGCCACACTAGTGATGACACTTAACATGTTGGCTTTTATGCAAAACATGAATTATTAACTCCTACCGTTGACTTTTGAATAGGTTGAACAGTCAAAGTCTAGTTTACTTTGACCAAACCACTAAAGGTTTCAATATGAGACGAAAAAAGAGACTTGAAGATTGGACTTTATCTCATCGCAAAGCTTATCTTCAAATGTTGGGTTCAAATACATTAAAGCCGTGATAGGAAAAAAGGTTGAAATAAACTTAGATTCCAAGACATTACTAAATTAAAATTACTACTTACTATTGTCGTTCTATATTTCTTTCTAACACACAAACAAAAAGAACTTTACACAAAACACCAGAAGACTAATACTACTACTATTATCGTCTGCAGTTCTGGATCTTCTTTTGTACATACTACTAGCAAGTCTCGTGTTCTTCTGAATCAAACCGGGGAGGCATGACCCTCTTTCGTACCAGCATTTCCGCTGTGACTTGCTTCCTCTTTAGTCCACCTCTCGGTCTTGAGGTGAAATCTTCATCAGTTTCGACAAAATCACCCTGAAACCACGTTCAGTTATATGTGAGATTCTACTCTTCGAGTTTGTCACAAAAATCAGAATGTAGGTTGGGGATAAACTTACGCAGGTATAAACGTGACATCCAGAATTCTCGTGGTTGTTTCTGACATGTTTGTAAGCAAATCTCATGCCACAACCTGGAAAACCGCAGACAAAGGGTCGTAAATCCTCGTGCACTGCTTTCACGTGTTTCTGAAGATTAGAAGCCTGAAAAATCATGGTAATGTAAATTAGAGATTATGAATAATCTGGAAAGCAATACTTGTTTTGGCTATTGGGCTATATTAGTTTAAGTAGCTCAGGATGTTTCTTTACCTTTGAGAAAGTTGAAGAGCAACCCTCAACTTCACACTTGAATTCTCCTGGTGAGGAATCTTCATCATGAGTCCGTAGATGTCTCTTGATGTTCTTTTTAAGATGCTTAGAACCACATATCTCACAGTTGATGTGCTGATGGCAGGATCTTATGTGTGCCTTGAGGCATTCTTCGTTTGTAAAGTACTTCATACACCCAGGCTCAGAACAAAAAGCCTCCACAGAGTCCAATTTCACTGCATATGTAAATCCAAAACCTTAAGAGATTGGAAATCTAAAAAGCTTTAAGAAACAGCTGTCTTTGGTTTTTAACAAAACATATAGAAAGCAAACGTGGAAATCTTCATATGCCCAGGATACTAAACTAGAGGGAAAACAGAAGTAGGAAGGTGGAATTACCATGAGAATCCTGATGCTTTTGCAGCTGTGAAGGATACTTAAAGGCTTTCCCACAACCAATTTCTTTGCAGACAAGCTTCTTCTGACCAGTTGAACATTCAGAGGGTTGAGAATCGCCATTACCAGTGTTGTCTTTACCACTATCACCATTACCAGCATTTTCCTTATCACTATCGCCCTTACCAGTAGTGTCCTTATCACTGTCGCCACTACTATGACATTTCTTAACATGCCTACTAACATTGCCCTGTACTGAGAATTCACTCTTGCAATTCTCCTTCGGACACTTAAAGAGCTTCCCTTTATGTGTAAGAAGATGCCTATTGAGATGGTCCTTTCTCCTATAGCTAGTAGCACAATCATCCACATAGCAAGCAAAAGGTCTCTACATACCATAAAAGTGAACCATCAGAAACATAGCTCACTAGTGAAACAAAATCCAAAGCAATATAGAACAATACAAGCTAAAGAACATCAGACCTCAAACTTTTGCGTGATCGAGGCTTACTTGCTGGAGCTTCTCAGGAGGTCTCCCAACCTGATACTAGTCCATAACATGTAGCCTCGCATTTTGGAGTTCTCTCTTTGGGATCCAATGCCTCACGCAATTATACAAGTCAGAACCTTTTGAATTAAACAAAAGGCCATTTATTTCCTGCAAAGGCATGAACTTTTAGCTCACAATAAGAACATAACTCAAAACTAAGCAAAACCCACGAATATCTCTATGTATCTCCATCTGTAGCTGCAACACACAGAACGAGAACAAATCGAGTTCTCATGAGAGAAATTGAAAAGGACGCATAAATCTACCTCGAGAGAGTGGCTCTGCATATGCTGCTTCAAGTGAGCAGGCTTCTTAAACTCAGCACCACATTCTTGACAAGTATGTTTACTTGAAAACTCTTCTTCAACCTCACAATCTTCATCATCTCTTTCCTCTTCAAGTTCCATCTAAACAAACGAATCAGACAAACTCTCAATTCAACAAACCATCACCAATTCATCACGATGCAACAGATGAGATATTGGAATCGAAAGATCTCAAACCTGATGATGAGATTGGATGTGTGATGTGATGAGATACTTTTTAGATCTACTGATTCCGCAATACTGGCAGAGATAATTGCGTATATCCTTCTTCGCCGACGTCTTCACGTCCTTTTTAGCTTCTTCCGCCATGTCTCTCTGATTGTCAACACAAGAACTAGGGTTTATCTCCTCCATCAGACGCCGCACTATAGAAGATGAAGTAACAAGATCTAGAAGCAGCAACGGCCATTTATAATTTTATATATTAGCTTCTTTTTCCCGGAATGAGAGAAATCTAACCTAGAAAACTTGGGCTTTTGATTATATAATGGGCCTTTTTAAGCCCATCTAACTTTTTAAATAGTTTCTTATAATGGGCCTTTCAAGATCTATTGAACTGCACGCAACTAAACGAGATGATGATGATCTGGCTCTGTTTTTGTTATGTTTTAATTATAAGCTCTTATTTCCTAAGAAGAACGGAAGCTTCGTCGGAGGTCCGCTTCCCGCTTCGGAATCTTAGTCGGAATCAAAAGCTTTTGGAAGTTTTCGGAATCTCGCTTCCATAACGCTTCTAAAAAATTCATTTTAGAAGCTCCTTGGAAGCTTACGATTCTATTTTGGAAGCTATTTTGGAAGCTTGCGCTTCCATTTAAAAAATTTGATGTCACAAAATAAATAAGAAATATGAAATTTTTGACTATGAACTATTTGACTTTTCTCTATTGTAAACATACACTATTTGATTTTTAAATATAGAGAGATATTTAGAATTTATGTATTAGATTTGTATGTTAATTATAATTTTTTATATGATATAATGTTTAATGTTTATTATATATATATATATATTAATTTTTATATACGCTTCCAACACGTACCCACTTTCTATAATTTTTATAAAAAATCGCTTCCACGTTTCCAAACGCTTCGCTTCCGCGTACCCGCTTCTGATTCCATGCAACCTAGCTTATTTCTATTAAAACATCAAAGAATTCATTATATGTAAACAAATGTTTTTTGGTTGAAACTAATTTTACAATCATTTAAAAGAAAAAAAATTATCTCACGGTTTTTTTTATCGGATTCAGCGTAAAATCAACAAGATCAGGGAGAGAAACAATATATGATGTATAGGTGTTCTCGGTTTTTTCTATATTTCTTTTCTCTTCCAAATCTCATCGATTTTTCTATGAATTTAATAAAAACTGTAAGACAATTGGAGTGGGTTAAAAGTATATATAAATTATAAATTTAGGAACATGAAATCCGAAATGTACTAATTTAGAAATCAATTACTATTTGAAGTCGTCTTGTTAATTGTTGTAACCTCACTATAAAAATAATATCTCAATTGTCATAAATAAAAAACAAATTGTTGCCAGGAAAAAAAAAGGAACAAAATTGAAACGTCACAATCGGTCCATTTAATGAAATGGGCCTACATGTAACACTTTCGAAAAAAATTACAGTCGATAAGCTCAATTAGGTCATCGTTTTAACAAAGGCTAGGCCCAAATAAAAGACGGAACCAGTCCAATTCAAAAACAAGCGATTTTGTTTTTAAAAAATGATTATTTACTTATTCGTTATCAGCACGTGTCATGTGTGCTACACAACTTCGTAAAGATGACAAATAACACCTCACGGACACATCACCATTTTTTTACGTATTTCCCCATAACGATTATTAAAAAAACGTATTAATCCCATAATCATATCTTCTAATTAAATAATTAACCACACCACAAAATTGAAATTAATGATTTTAATCAATAAAATTAAAAACCCTAAACGCAACTTTCTCTCTTCTTCTTCCTCTGTCTTTGCGCCCAAACCAAAACCCACACAAAAGCCCTCTTTGTTATCTTCTCTCTGAAACTAGGGTTTCTATTTTCTCTTGAGTGATGTGAAATGCTCGTGTAACGAAAACGATGCAGAAGATTCTGTGCAAAAGTACCACTTCTTCAACCCCTGTTCTCTCTACTCCGGTGAACTCTTTCGCCGCCGGGTTTATCTCTCTAGGGTTTAAGACCCCCGTCAAAAATCTCACTCCTTGTTCCAGTCCCAAACCTCTCTCTACTTGTTTCTTCTCTACTTCCGCTATGCCGACGAGAACGGCTTCTCTTTCTTCAGGCGGTGTTGGTTTCTCTGCTTATCTACAGAGGAGTGTTCATAAACCGGCGCCGGCGTCGGTACGGTTCTCAACAGCTGGTTACCGGACTTGTCGGTGTTCAATCGACGGTACCAACCGGGCTTGGGTCGGTCGAACCGGGACTTGGCGTGCTTTGTTTTGCTCAGACTCTACTGGTGGCTTAACCCCGGTTAATGCTACTACTGGAGCAGTCGTTGAGAGCGAAGGTGACTCTGACGGAGACGATGAAGAAGAGAAAGATAATGATTCGACGGATAAGGTTGAGAAGCCAGTGAGGATGAGCCGTAGAAATCGGAGCTCTAATGGAAGTGGTGAATTTGTTGGTAATCCAGATTTGCTTAAGATTCCTGGAGTTGGTTTAAGGAATCAGAGAAAGCTTGTTGATAATGGAATTGGAGATGTTGCAGAGCTCAAGAAGCTCTATAAAGATAAGGTAATGTTTGAATCTTCAAATTTAGCTTGTGGGTTTCGAGATAATGGTTGAAAGTTTCAAACTTTTTTTGTGGTTGGTTGATTTGTAATCTCAGTTTTGGAAAGCAAGTCAGAAGATGGTTGATTATCTTAGGAGCTCTGTTGGGATTATACATAGGAACCATGCGGAGAGTATAACAACGTTTATTAAAGAGAGTGTGGATGATGAGTTAAAGGATTCTGGCCCTGAACCTAATGTAAATGTGAAGAAACGTTTGACGTTTTGTGTTGAAGGGAACATTAGTGTTGGTAAATCAACTTTTCTTCAGAGGATAGCGAACGAGACGGTTGAGTTACAAGACCTTGTTGAGATTGTTCCTGAGCCAGTTGATAAATGGCAAGATGTTGGACCTGACCATTTCAATATATTGGATGCTTTCTACTCTGAGCCTCAAAGGTATGCTTATACTTTCCAGAACTATGTGTTCGTCACTCGGCTGATGCAGGAGAAAGAGTCTGCTTCTGGGGTTAAACCTCTCAGGTTGATGGAAAGGAGTGTCTTCAGTGACAGAATGGTAAATTTAAATCAAATGTTATTAAAATTGATAGTTTGCAATGTGTGATTGCAAACTTAATATGTTGTGGAACTTGGTGTTTAGGTGTTTGTGCGTGCGGTTCATGAAGCGAAATGGATGAATGAGATGGAGATCAGCATCTACGACTCTTGGTTTGATCCGGTTGTCTCTTCTTTACCTGGACTTGTTCCTGATGGGTTTATATACTTAAGGGCAAGTCCAGACACTTGCCACAAGCGGATGATGCTCAGGAAACGAGCAGAAGAAGGTGGAGTCTCACTGAAATACCTCCAAGATTTGCACGAGAAGCATGAGAGCTGGCTGCTCCCGTTTGAGAGCGGAAACCATGGTGTATTGTCTGTTAGTAGGCCATCTTTACACATGGACAACTCTCTGCATCCTGATATAAAAGACCGTGTCTTTTACTTGGAAGGAAATCATATGCATTCTAGTATCCAGAAGGTAAGCTTATCTCGTTTTTTCCTTTCTTTGTACTAAAAAGTCTTAAGATAGATTTTGCTTAGGCTGGTTCATTGGTTTTAACAGGTCCCTGCTCTGGTTTTGGACTGTGAACCTAATATCGACTTCAGCAAGGATACTGAAGCAAAGAAACAGTAAGTTCTCACACTAGTGTAATGTCACCATAACTTATTTGAAATCCTAAATCTTACAGATATTTTCTTGATTGATGTTGTCAAAAGGTATGCACGCCAAGTTGCTGAGTTCTTTGAATTTGTGAAGAAGAAGCAAGAAACATCTACAGAGAAGAGCAACAGTCAGTCACCAGTACTGCTACCGCATCAGAATGGCGGTCTCTGGATGGGACCAGCAGGCAATCATGTCCCGGGATTAGAACTCCCGCCTCTAGATCTCAAGTCACTCCTCTCCAGACCGTCTGCGTGACTGTCCATTCTCTGACTCTGTTTTTATTCGCTCCTAGGGAGCGTGTCAGGTTATCGAATGTCAATAGTTTCGATCGGCTTTTATATCGTTTGTTTAGGAAAAAACGTTATCTGCCGCTTTTGTCCATCTTAGATGTAGAAACGAAACATGGTCGTGCCGTTTAGCTTAACCCTTTTGTATAAAAGTTTGATCTCTGGATAATTTGTTTCTTGAAATCTTGTTGGTCGTCTGAAATTTCAGTTTTCAGTTTTTGTATCTGATATGGTAGTGTTTTTATTGTTTTAACCAAAATGTACATGAAGAAAACGCTTACGAAAAGCGTTTAGTCATAAGAACGCGGCGCTTTCTGCCTATCCAAGTAGAGGTCCACAACGGGTCAGTCTCGACCACGCTGTAACCCGCATTAGAGTAAAGATTTCTAGCGGCTGCATCGTCTTCATAAGCTCTTAGAGCAAGAAGCTTGAAACCCCACAGGTAACACAAAACATCACATGCCTTTAACAATGTACTTGCCATCTTCTTTCTCCTTTGAGCTTTTGAGACGGCTAAACCCGAGACGTAAAGATATTCTTCGACGCCGGGAAAATGGCAAAGTACTGAACTTTCCGTTTGAGCTGTGACATCAACTACTCCGAGGACACTTGAACTCGACGAAGTTTCTGGTTGGCTCGTTTGCTCCGCCACGAGACATGCATATCTGCCACGTTTTTATAACTTTTCTAATCAAATTACAATTTAAAACTACAATGTTTTTGTTATTTGTTTTACCTGTCTGGTGGTGAATTCTTTAGTTTGTAAAGAAGTGCTGAGAGAACCTCTGCCTGCAATATAAATTAGCAAAAATCTTCATTTATATTGAAGTTTTTTAACAGATATGAAAATTTTGCTGTGAAAGTAAACAAACCTGAAAAAACATAAAGAAAAAATCATTAAAAAGAGCGAGAGGGATGTGGAAAGCTTCGGCTTGAACCAGAGACACTCTCCTGATCTCATCCTCGTCGTCTCTATTCAATCTCCTCACATCCCACCCGTGTTGACTCACTAGATGCTTCAACTCTATCTCCGTCGCATTATTCTGAGTCAAACTCGTTAACGATTCGGTCGATGCGCACCGTAAGATCACCGGAAAGCGGCTCCACGTCAGCTTCTGTCGATATATTCCTTGGCCGCAGCTTCCAGGATATGGAAACTTTGGTCTAGCGGCGGCGGAGTAGAGGCTCTGTGACAAGTGAGCCATGTTTATTTTTCTAGCATTTTTCAAAAAAGAATCTTTAGTGTTTTCATTTTCGTGCGTTTTAACTTGAAATGTTGAGATAAGATACGCTTCTTGCTTCCATCGTATGTTTTTTTTGTGGTCAATAAGAAGAGGACCATCAAGGACTTGGAAAAAGATAAAATAATTCAGCTACGTGGACAAATGGAGACCCTACACGTGGCGATTTGAAAACAAAAATTAGTTCATGTTCATCATAGAAAATTACATGAATTTTTATTCTGACTTTCCTTAAAAGGCCTTGTGTGAGAGTTAATGGGCCGGGCCCAAATAAAATGTCGCTTGCACTTGTGAGAGAGATATCATCCCATTTCTCAGTCTTCTCCAAACAAATTCGCCGTAAAAATTCCAGAGAGGTAGTTCATCATTTGCAATTTCTCGATTAGTTCTGAATCATGGCGTTGAGCACCAGCATCAGATCTGTCTCCAAGATCATTGCTTCATCCGAAGCATCAGTCTCTAGATCTGGTCAGTACCAACAAAAACATCTGATTAATTGGTTTTGTTTTTCCCCTTTCTGTAGTCTAGGGTTTTGTTTGATTGCTTAGATATCGATGTTTCTGATTAGCCGCGGAGTGATTCCGATGCGATTCTTCGTTGATTGCTCCATGTTTGTCTTATCAAAGTGTTTGAATTTTGGGATTCGAATTTTGTTTGTAGAACATATTCTCTTTCATTGTTTCATGGAACCTATCAAAGTACAGATTTTGCTTACGAAACTTTATCAGGTATGGAAATTTCCATGTTCATCATGCTTTGATAGTTTTGGTTGATCGGTAAAAGACTCCATTTTTCTGCAAGCATTTACGTAGAAGTGTGTACTAGGATCAGCTTGTTTTGATGTATTTCTTGAAGCTGAATAAGCTATAAGATGATTTATGAGTGCTTGATTGGTACATTTTCAAAACTTGCTGAAGATTTCTTTGTTATCATCATCAACAGTGAGTAGAAGCTTCCACTCGACTGGAGTTAAGAAGATGAGCGGAGGAGGACATGGTTACGACGAATACTACCTCCACGCAAAACACATGTACAATTTGGACCGCATGAAGTACCAAGCTCTCAAGATGTCTCTCGGTGTCTTCACCGCTTTCAGCATCGGTGTTGGGGTTCCTATCTTCGCAGTCGTTTTCCAGCAGAGGAAGACCACTTCTGGTTGAGTCCCTAAGGGCATGCTCTTGTTCCCTGTTTGAAATAATTTGTATGAATTCTCAAACTCTGCTTTTGCAAGAGAGTTTCTTTTTTCCCTTTGGATCTTATCCACAAGTCTTATCGTTATGGTAAAGTGTTCTGTTTCTTCCTCTTTTGCTGGCTGTTTGATGCTGCAATAATGATAATCTGACAGATATATTTTTTATTACTTTGATTCGAAGTGAAAGTTTTGTTTGAGATTCGTAGAACCCAAAAGCCAAGAAAGATCAACATATTCACATATCTATTAATCATAAGCACAATCGAAAGGACAGATGAAATCAAGAAAACACACTGACACACAAAAACCCACAAATGATGTGACAAATCTGTTCAAAAGCTTAAAACCATATCTGTTTCACCATATTTTGTCAATCAGGCATGGCAGCATTCAACAGCCAAAACATATGTTTCACAATTGGAGTTGCTAATCGCCAAACCGCAGATCGAGCGTGTGGTCATTACAATGTCATGAGGTGGAATGAGAAGACGATTGGTCACTTTTTGTCATCACCACCGTTTTCACTAGCTTGAGTCTGGTTTGGCTCTTGATGTTGGAGCTGATGCTGATGTTGATCCAGAGTCATGGCCAAACCATCGCCTCTACTGCCACGCATTGCAGCCGCCATATTGTTCTCTGCCACTCCTAATCCTAGCTGTTGACCTCCCAACATCATTGACCCCATTGGTGCAGTAACAACTCGTCCTGTCCCAACCGGATAATTCCCTGGATTAAACGCCCACATTTGGTGACCCGGCTGCTGCTGCAACTGCTCCCGCCCACCCGAACCGCTCATCGGAAGCATCCAGAACGCACTTCCTCCATTTGTAGTCCCCGGCGCAACCGCCCACATAGGTTGAGGCACCACATTAGCCGTCCCACGACCCGGACCTAACTCTTGATCCTGAAACTGACCCGCTTTCTGAGAACTCTCGCTTGGTTCCGCTGCAGAGCTAGGCTCCTTAAAGTAATCTTCTCTATAAGGTTTCACTAAATTACTCGGATTTCTCTCCGTCGCCATTATTGGTGGATACATCTGATGATGAAAACCGAAAACAGCCGCGTTTGCGGCTGAATTCAGTAACTTCCTAGAAGGATCTACCGATGATCCGTTAGAACCGTTATTGTCTTCATAAAGAGACATTCCGGTGCTATGAAACGAGAGCGGCGAAGAAGAAGACTTGGACGACTGAGAAAATAAGGTGGAGCCGCCACCACTGCGTAAAGAAGCGTTTAACGTTGAGAAATTCGCCGGAATCGTACCTGTACCTGTAGAAGCGATGATAGCTGGCTCAGCTTGTTGGAGAAGCCACTCGATGGTCTCTCCATCAGATTTATGACCTAACTCTCTAGTAAGCTGAAAAACTCTAGCGGCGCACATCGCCGGCATACGAATTCGCCGTCCACGGCCATCGACTTTCGTGTGCCGATCTTTAGTCGGCTTTTTCACGGTGGATTTGACTACGGCAAGAGCACTACCTGAACTAGTGCTAGTCGAACTCGTCGCTGAAGTGCTTACGTTTCCGTGTTGACCGGAGATAAAAGGAATTGAACCCGGCGACGGTTTATCACCGGAATTAAGCTGAAGCGTCGCCTCCGCAACAGAGGAATTCTGATTCGTGCGAATTTCCATCTTCAAATCCGTAAAAAGATGTGATTTTTAAACAAAACCCATGTGAATTCTGAGTCTTGATATCGAATTCTCTAAAATCTGGGGAAATCTGAAGCAATCGTTTGAAGAAAGAAAAGAAGAGCAGTGACTGTGGAAGGAGATCTAAGCTACTATAATAGAGTTTGTGAACAGAGAGGGAGAGGGAGAGAATGATTGAGAGAGATAAAAACAAGTGGATATGAATGGTGTGATTGCAGGAAGAAACTATCCATCTAAATTCTTCTATTCAATTCAACCTTTTTTGACTTATTTGTTTCTTACACTGTTCTGCTTTCTTGTCCAAAACCCTTTGTTTTTGCTTTCCCATGGTTAAACTCAGTAAAAAAATTCATCATTTGGGTAATTTATGCAAAAGTAATTTCTCATATTTTTGTTCATTTGAATAAATAATTAAATAGAATGGAACATTCTTAGAGTATGTGAGTCATATAGATCAATGATGTAATTAAGAACCTAGGTAAAGGCTTTTATAAACAAAAATAAAATAAAATTAAGAACCTAAGTTTTATGATTTTACATGTTTTTTTTGGTGATCTTATGATTTTACGTGTTTGGTGTCGAGTTACATTTTTTTAACCGCGGAAATTCTGTATTTTTGACTCATAATCTTATTCCGTATTCAGATCTAACCTTTAATCTATTCCGATTTTAAAAATGATTCTTCGTCTAAAAGAGAATTGAATCAGTGACACAAAGAAACCAATTTCTTTATACTATCAAGCGACCACCCTTTTCTTGAGTTTCGTGTTTTTCATTGTCGAATAATTTCTAAGGCTTATTATAACATTATCTAAATGAATTTTTATAGTAGATGTTTTGATGAATAAGTGTGTTGTTGAAATAAGGTGAATGTTTGTGTTTTGTTGTTGTGTTTTTCATATAGTTTTTCTAAATCCATATGTAATTTTCTTAACACTATCCATATGTATTTTGTCTTCTCACCTAATCAGCTTTAGTTATTTACTTAAAAAAAATATTGAGAGTTATTTTCCCAGCTAAGTTTTTCAGTATGTGAATCATTCACCTAATTAACTCTTTAATTCAGGTGAATTCTTTAACCTTTTAGAGTGTTTTGATAAAGACTACGTGATGTGTACCGTTTAGCTCTTGTTGTGTAAACGCGAAGGAGAGATCTATTGTGAGATTTGTTGGTTCATATTTGAAAAGACTACAATCATATTTACGGTAGAGATTAATTAATGTATAGTTAAGAAATTATATACACCTAATTAGTTTAATTAACTTATTATAGTTAAATCTATTTGGTGGTTGCTAATACTAATCCACTCACCATTTTTAAATTGTTTTTTTTTTGTCGATAAAGACGTTACTGGTGAGCGGTGACTCATGTTAATCACTCTCCTCAACAACCCGTTTTGCCTTCTTTTTAATATTCTTATTCCCACATGAAAAAAGCTAGATCTTGATTATTACTTTAACTTTGGTCTCAAAACAGATCATTTTAGTTTAGGGTGAATGAAATATATATACCTGGAAGAATAGTTTATCATTAATTTTTTGATTTCAACTTTCAAGTCCATGATAATTCACTAATTGTATATGACGATAGTATAGACAAAACAGATCTTTACCGTCTTACACGTAAAAGAAAAAAGTTTTTCCCACCAAAAGAATTTAAAGAAAAGGGATAATGGCTAAAAATCTGGAATAAAACAAGGACATAAAAGCAACTCGTTGACCTAAAGTAAACAAAGTGCGATCCAATACTTTTTTTTAGAACTATGATGTTGGATCATGAATTTGAGAGATAAATATGATTGTTTAGGATTTTTTCCCCGGTTTTTTTTTTTTTTTAATGAACTTGGCCGAAGTTTTACGATCAGAAACCTTAAACCAATAGGATTTAGGAGATATTAGGGCTTGCTTGCTCATTTTGTATCTAGCTACACTATCTAAGTATCTATGGCCTATGGATTTAATACATCGTGGATAAAGAATCACAAAGTTTATGTATTATAGGTTTATAGAGTTTCACCTGCTTTTCTATTAGTTTACCTATATGCACATAAAATGCTATATGAAAACTTATAGTGTGAGATTTTCAATTTGCTTATAAAAGTAATTGATTTTTGTATCATCTTAGGGCATCCGCAGTAGTGGTGTATCCTTGCGTGGAGTGTATCTATTTTAAAATACAGAAATAATGTAAAAGTTGTCTCTCTCTTCACACCCGGGTGTAAGTTTACACTCGGGTGTAAGTATCTCTATCTCTCTTTTCTCTCTCACTTTAAATTATAATAATAAAAAAAATCTTACACCGCGGATGGTCTTAGTATAGTAGTATAACATAGAATTTCAACATTATTATGTCTTTTTAAATGACATGTGACGTAGACCGTAGCTTTATTTTTTAATTCACATAGAGATATTCGAAAATATCCATAACCTCAAGTATCATAAATTAGGTACATAAGATTTTATTGCGTTTGACATAGTAAAGTTACCAAAAATTACTGCAAGTGTGGGGCTGCATAAGTACATGATATTAATCGAACGGTCGTACTCTGTCGTCTTTTTCTTCTTTTTTCTAATTTGTTTCTGTCGGATTGTGTCTTGCAAGACTTTTGATTGGTCAATGGTCAATAGTCAATGGCTCCTTCTAAACGGACTAAATGCATTGCCTTATTAATTACATGTTGGTCCGTAGTAGACTATATGGTACCACAATGATCACGAGACAACCATTCTTGTCCAAGCATCCGTGGTCTAGTGGTAGAGGAACTTTTGAGAAATGGTGAAACTCCCAAACCTGAGTTCGATTCTCCCTGAAAACAAAAAACACATTTGTTTGGAAAGTCTGTCAGTTGGGCATTGGCCCAATTAGTTTACCTGGTAGCCAGAAATGCAGGCGGTCTGACTACCCCTGACATTTAGTCGGAAGGCATTTCAAACTCGGGATAGGTAGAATGGTAGCCCGTAAAGACCTAACTGTTAACACGGTGGACCAGTCCACTATGTAGCACCTCGATGCGTTCATACCAAGGTCGACCGAATAGTCGATAGAGTTTATTAGAAAAAAAAAAAAAAAAAAAAAAAGACAACCATTCTTGATTATTCCACATACTAAAGTTTGGGAGTTATGAATATTTTTGTTTTTGTTAATGGTTAAAAAGCGATACAATACCAAAAAAAAAGCACAAAAAGGAAATCATATAATTTTAAGTCCAAGAAGAAGATCTCTTAAGAGGAGGTTTCATATGTTTCTCTTCTTCCATTGAGATCATTCCTACATGCGTTGGATCATCCATCATCATCTTGGCCACCAAATAGCCAGCGATTGACCATGTCTGAAATTTTCTGGCCTGTTTTCCGATGAACCTTCCAGACTTTCCGTCGTAGTACTCCGGCCATCCATCTTTCAATAGTCGTGCCTCCGCCAACTCTATTGCCCGTCGTGCTATTTGTGGTCGTCCGGTCTTTATGCTTGCCGCCGTTAGCAACCATAGAAGCACTACGTTTTGCATCAGCCACATAAGTCAACAATATTAATTGAATGATTATCCAATCAAAAAACAAAATTAATCAAAGGTGGCGTTAGAAATATAAAATAGGGCTGAAGATTATGGTATCAGAGCCTAGGCTTGTGTGAAGGTAGAGAGAATCATTGTTTATGACTGATCGTTTTGAATGTTCTGGAAAACAAACTCTCAATCATGTCTCTTTCTAAGCCTCCCAAACACCCTCAGATAAATCCTTCTATAGATTCTCAATTTGCTATATCTACTTTACCAAAAATCCAAAGAAATAATTCCCTTTCTAAAATAAATTCCTTGTATGAAATCGAATACGTTCCCGGAGATCAATTGCCGGAAACAACTCTCCCGTTGGTTAATCCTTATAAATACTTTGCTAAAAAGCCTAGTGCTTTTTCAGTAAAAGGTGTTCGTGATCTAATCAAGCCATCTTCCAGCCGACGAGTATTGGAGTATGTGCAATCCAGCAAGTTTTCATCATGTCAAGTTCCAGCTACCGAAGAAGAACAATTCATCTCGCTAAATATTCCAAAGCATCTTCCAAGGCTATGGCAGCAGCAGGGCTACACTCACCTACACTTTGGTGTAGTACGAATCGGTTTAACCTTACACGCACGAAAAGGTTTACCGGTTGTAGCACGGATTGCTTTGCTTGACTCAAGACTCAAATCATATCAACAAGCTTGCATCGGAACAGTACAAACAACGCTGAACGCAGGAACAGTATTCATAACACTGTTTCCCAATTTCAATGTCTCACTACAAGATCCAAATCTCCTGAAGGCGCTTAAGGTTCAATTACAACTAATCGGAGCACCTATGCAAGAAGAAAGTGTGGCAGCAACTCTACATCATCAGATCGTATACAGAATCCAAGATCATGCTCTCGATCTTGCATTACCAGCATCAGATGAAGCTTTATACCTTGAAGTCACATCGGCTTCGCAAGCACCCAACTCTATTCAAATCCCGAGACAGATATCTCGTGAGGAATTGCTACGAAAACTGCCAGAGTCATGGGTAACAAGCTATGAGAAGATACATCAAGCATCTCAAGCACCGATTCAGTCATCTGACGTAAGCTTTCACTCTAGAAGCGACGGAACCACGGAGATAAAGTTTGAAAAGCCAAGTTCGTCTTTTCAAAAGAAGCTCTTTACTCAATTCACTATCCAAATTGAAGAGCAAGAGTTCTATGATCCCGTCAAAAAGAAAGATTTACAGCCAATCGCTTTTGGTCAGAACGGAACTGTTGTATATCCATTCAAAGATGAAAACGGACATTGTTACTTCGATGTCTGTTCATGCACCGCATGTTTAGAAGATTCGTATGAATCGGATGATGAAAAGCGAAGAAGACGGAGAAAAAAGAAGGATCCACTCTATAAACGCTACCTTGAAGGAGATCCTACAGTTGGTCCACTTGGTGAAGGCAACTACGACTTCATAGTCGAATATTCAACAAAGAAGGAAGACGCAACTCAGCAACTCATGATGATAAGAACGGATTTTCCTCCACCAAAGGACTTTGTCAAAGACAATGTGCTGCATACACCAAAAATCGTTCCAAACAACATCAACTCCTCTGGACCCGACGAATTAAGCCAAGCAGAAAAGGTTCTCAACTGGCAAACAGAAAATGCCTTTGTTCAGAATCAATTACTGACATCCATTAGCCACAAGGTTGATCAAATGACAGAGAACAACAATAGAAGATTCAACAGTTTACAAGGAGCCATATCAGAGATTCAACAGAAACTCAGCAACTTGCACCAAGAAATGATGGCTATGGCAAAACAAATGAAGGTCAATACATCTCAGTTCAGAAGTAAAGAAGCTGAACAAACCAATCTTAAATATCAACTCAAAGATCTTCAGAAAAGCCTAGAAAGTCTAGTCCAGAATCAGAAGCGAGTTAATCTGTATAATCCTTTTGACTACATGTCATCTGGATTACCCACATATCAAGAATCATATTCTCCAGGATTTCTGTCTGGATATCAAGATCCAAAACCAAAACAGCCTGTACCTGGATTCTTATCCTCGGATGAAGCCTTTACATCTCGGTTTGGTACAACTTCAATCAGCAATTTCAAAACAAAGGTGGCAAGAACTAAACCAAGGCGTACCAAAGATTCGGAGTTTCACATCAATCCATCCAAGAAGCCAAGCTTCACATCTTCATCAAGCCATGAGTCCGCTCAAGATGAAAAGAAAGAGGATGTTGCAAAAGAAGAAGAAATTGCGATGATCGAGTTTTCGATGTCTAGTTTACTAGACAATCTCGTAAAAACATCTGATGATGAAAGACAAGAATTGCAAGTTCAATCAAAAGAGCAGCAGTCAGTACCAGTTGTTACAATGACTCACATCTCAGCTCTTTCAGATTCAACCTCTTCCGTCGATGAATCAGAAACAGATAAATCTCTTCCAAATCAGTTTGCAATCGGAGACGAGTCACATATTCCAAAAGAAGAGCCAATCTATGAAGAAATTTCAAGTGACGAAGAGATGAGCTATGAAGCTCAAGGCGTACCAAAGAAACAATTTGCATCAAAGATAATGGTGTTCACATTCGATGACATTCCTTTTGGAAAATGGAATAGTCGTCTTGACGAATTTCATGCATGGATGACCTCCGAAGCAATCACTTCCCCAACAGAAGTGGTGATACAACAATTCACATCGAGACTGTCAGGCGCATTAAAAGAATGGTGGAATTCGCTTGGAGAATATCGGCAGCAGCAGGTGTATCAGACAACGATACCTCTACTTCTTGGCGAGATACATAGAGAATTCGTTGGCACCCCAAACCATTTGAAAGAACAACTACAAGAAGAATTCTACACAGCGAAATGTTGTTCATTGAAGAAGAGAGATTTAGCAAAGCATTTCGAGCGACAAACTCGAAGGTATTATGCTCTCAATGGTCTAAACAATCCAAGCCTGAAGCAGGTGTATCTCTCATCCATCGACGACTACCTAAGTCAACAAACAAAGCTGTATATCAGAGATCAAGGGCAGACAATCGAAGAAATCTCGATTGGACAGATACAGCAGCAGGTGTTCAGAACTCTTGACAAGCTTTGCAAGCAAAAAGAATTTTGGTCAGAATTCATGGACAAGTCAAAGCATCTTTCGAAGATATGTGCTCGCCCAGATCTGAACATCAAATGTTCGAAAAAGAAAAAATGTTCATGTGAAGATCGACGAAAAGTTCGAAGAGGATCCAAGAAATCATTCTTGAAGTCGAAATATTTCAACAAGATCAAACGCAAGCGGTTCTTTAGGAAAAAGAAAAGCTTCGAGAAAACTTCAAGATGTTTTCTATGCAGAAAAACGGGGCATTTTGCAAAAGACTGTCCAAACAAGTCTAAAAAGAAGAAGCAGTATCTCATTCATTCGATATCCAAGATAGCTCCAGATCTTGATATTGATAACCACGATCTCGAGTCAATACTATCTTATGATAGTGACGAGAATGATGCTATATGCAGTTATTCGGATTATGACGAATCTTCAGAATCCTCATCCGAAGATGACAAAGACGATGATTGTTGTTACAAGATTACCCAGATCCCTCAGAAAGATGAACTTCAGACGCCACATCTACCAGTAACCATCTTTGATCCTTCCAAACGAGAAAAGCCAGTGCATGCAATCGCATTCTTCGACACAGGAGCTCATACAACAATCATAAATCCAAAGATTCTCTCACGAGCCATGTGGATGCCTCATCAACAAGATTTCAGAGTCGCGAATGCAGGATCTCTGACGGTCAAGCTAAAATCAAAACCAATCACGATCGAGCTTTTCCCAGGATGTCAAGTTACCAAGGAAGTACTAGGTTCATCTGCACCTGGAAAAGACTTAATCCTTGGGTGGGATACTTATTCGCTACTGAAGAAGAAGTTCGGTATTTCTCTAGAACCAAGAGGCGTGAGATGGAAAAACCTCTACAAAGCTTTTACCACGATGCATCGCCTATTCTCAATCGAAGACTCAGTATCTGCAGAATTCAACAAAATTGAAGAAGAACTAAAGATGGCATCATGTTCAGATTCACACACGGAGTTCCTTCAAAAGTGTAATCACCCGCTATGGTTAAACTCAAGCTTCTTCGTATCCCTACCATTCAAAGAAGATGTTCATACAACACCAACAAAAGCAAGCCATGCA